AGAAGTCTATCAGACATGTACTGCAGGACCTTGTTCTAATGAAGCTATATTGTGACAGGTCTATTAGATCTTCCTTAAGTAGGTGATCAGATAGTTGATTTGTATCAATTTTTCCACTATTCGTGATATAAATGGAGTGATATTTATGGGTCTGTAGTTTTCTACCAGGTTTCTCGGTCCGGATTTTTGTTATTATTATCATTATTATTATTATTACTATCTTATGGGTACATAAGTGTTGTGAAGAAACCATTTCGGGTTTCTTCAAAAAATGCAATAATACACAATTTTCAATAATGTCAGCATTATACTTGCCATTTTAAAAAAACATTTAAGAGCAATAATAGTAGAATATTAATAATAATAAATCGGGTCTGTGCAATTGAGAAGAATATTGAATTGAGTTTAAAGAAGGAAATGGAGAAAATAAGGGAATAGAAATAAAGGAGACGTGAAATACGCAAACGGTCTAATAGGCGTGTTTACGAACACAGAACAAGAATAAACGACTATGTGTGAAGAACATACGCTACCTTCCAGGTATATATATATATATATATATATATATATATATATATACCAATAATAATAAACTCATTTACCGTTAAGGGCTTTCAGAAAGAATTAGATGCATAATAAAAGGACGTGTGCTTCGTAAGTTAATTTTATCTGACCCAACTGTTGCTGCTACCTTGACGTGCTTATCGTGATAAACCAAACAGGCTATACTGGATAGGACAATCGTTTCTCAAGGTCCTACCATGCAAAACAGGTCGGTTGAAGAACGGTAGGACTGGACGCAGCAGACCCAGGGTCCGAGGGCGTAGTTGTACTGCTGATTTGAACAGATATCTGGCGGCAGTAAGGTGTTTCCTTTACACAACCAGCGCAACAACAATGCCACCTTCCCACAAGGAGGGGTGGGGTTTGAACAGGTCGACCATAAAAATGCACACCCCACCTTATCCCACGGATATCCGTCTCCGCCGGTAAGGTCACAAAAAATACGGAGCTAACAAGAAAATTACTGACAAAAAGGTCGTGCGTAATCTTCCTCAAGCAGTTGTCTCTTGGGCACTGTGGTCACGTTTTCAGGTTACTAAGACCACCTTTTATCCGATTTCCTCTTCAAGTACCTCCAGAAGAACCCTTCCATTGTGCGGACAAGCGGGAAGTGATAACTGCCCTCATACCTCTAACAACACTCAAGATCACTGTATTCATAATCAATATCCCTCTTTATTTCCTGTTAACCGGCCCTCAATAGGGCGCTGAAACCTTTGTGTATCGTAACACATAGCTGAGGCATGCTGATCAAAAATGAAGTACTTTATTTCAGTATCCTGCAACCTCCACTGGGGGCTTGTTAAGACTTTCGAATCACTTCTGTGCTAATGGCGCCTATGGAAATCTCAATAGGTGCTTCCGTAGGGATACAGTTGACGTTGGACGCCAACCATTACTACTCTTTTAAAGGCATCAAACGAAACTAAGATCACTATTGGCTATTTTATGTCCAGATCATTCATAAACCCATCATATGAACCAGCTCTTGGCACTTCAGGAGTTAGCTGTATTGCCTTCGTTAATAAAGGTGGTCCTCTAGATATGATATGATCTGTAACCTTGTTACCCACGAATATGAACTACGGACCTCGGGATACTTCACGAGTATTTGTTACAAATACGAATAGTAGGAATTCTATTTGAATATCTGAACTACCTGTTCCTGTCATCCAGATATTTCAACAAGTTATCTGTCTTTCTTTTGTTTTAATACATCATTATGCCTATTATCGCATAACCCATTCAGATGCGTCTGTAAAATGTTCACGACTTTTCGCAGTACAACATACAAAAGAGCACAATCAGAGACATTTTGGTTGTTAACAATATGCATAAAAAAGAATGCACATTATTCAGACGTCGATCTCTAAACTACTAACATCTAACTGGCGACCACTCAATATTTATCGCAAGGGTCGATCAAGAAATAAAAAAGGTAACTTGTTGAAATACTTTGTGCTGAGAATTTCATATTGTACTAAAAATATAATATTGAATAAAGCCACTTACAATAATAATTAACCGTACGTTTAACTCCATCTAGCCCTAACTTAAAGGCAGAAAGTGATTTTCCAGAAACAGATGACTTGTCGTTAACATTTACCAACCATCTCTTGTATCAGTAGACGAATATGTAGCGTAGTTCTATCAAATCTTTTTAAATGACAGACACTGAAGTCTGAAGCAACAAAAATCCAGCGGATGGGTCCGATAAACTCATGTACAAGTAAGGGCACTTCTGAATGCATGTATCAAACTGTTTCCAACTAATAGCTGAAGTGCTAGAGCACTTGATATTCATTCCATCATAGCGAGCTTGAACTAACGAAGCTCCCCTGCCCATTTTTCTAAGTTCTTCGCATTGTGTTTTAGTCAAAACCCAGACTAGAACAGGATGAGAACTATCGCCAGTAACAATACTGCTTATTACTAACAATAACGTACAGATCTTCTGTAAGTTATTCAATGACCAAAGACTGTGTCCGGTGATTTTCGGAAGTAGTATCTGAGCTTTCTTAAAATTAATAGCTTCCTTGAGCTCATAAATTTAAGAATAATGTAGAGAAGCGTATTCTGAGGTTCGAAGTTGGTTTCGCGTGCCTATACAGTAAACGTGCAAACATTCTGAAGATTGTTATGGTTTGTCTGAATGACGCTAATTTATGCTCCATTGTCGGTTAGTTTAAAACTGCCACAACTATTTGGAGCTTGACAGCATCTTAATCAGTAACACTTCTTATGATCGAAACGTGCCAACTCGATGAAATCAGAGGTCAGAAGAGAAGAAGTTTGAAGATATATTTGTTAGAATATCGATATGTCGAGAAGTGACCAAGCTAAGCTGGCCAGCGGTTGTTGGAGTAGTGGAGCACAGCGCACCCATCCGTGATCTGGTACGGATGTATGGCCGAGTGTCTTTAGTTAGGTGAGTCCATTAAAACTTGTAGTGACTCACTTTTGTCACGAGAACACGATTGGTTTATTGAAAACAATTATTATTTTAACCAATTATACCAGTGACTGTTTAACGTGCTCTTTGTTTAACTGTGCTAAAAAACATCCATTATACTTACACTTTGATTGTGAACTCGCGTGAATTCGGTTACACTCTGTAACCAGGCTTGTATCCTGGCACGATCTCGGTATTCTTTCGATACCACGAGATCGCCAGCAAATATATCTCGACTTGGTCCATTAGCTGCCTTCTGATATTTGGCTTCCCGGGTATTTTATGCATATCCTGGCGCGCATTCCTTGGTAGCGGTGTTCATAGTCAATCTCGACTCGACGCTACGCTACAAACTAATGATAAGTTATTCTCAAATAACAGTCTATGATATGTGAGGCATGCTAGTTTACCGACATCAAATGTCAAAGACAGCCACATAGTAAAGATCTTTCGTCATCATATCGCCTATCTATAACAGATGGCTGAATCCTCTGGAATTGGTTGCCATCAATGCGTACTTTTGGAGGCGTCATTTTGAGGATTGGTTGAGGTGGTAGTAAATTTGGGTCGGAAAGTTAAAGGGTCCTTGTCTTCTATGGAACAACTATACATCTTTGGCACTCACAGCAGCTAGATTTCTCCGTACCTTGTTGTTGGGACAGTAGATCTTCCAGTTATTATCCCTTCTTTAATAGCTATAATTTATATTTGTTGTTTTGAAGGCCAAAAATATATTTTGGTGCGTCACAAGAGTCTTTAATTTGGTTTCGAGTCGCTAATGGCACTAAACCGGTGGATTAAAAATCTGTCCTCAGACTTCCGTTAGCCTGCAGAGATCGATCAAATAATGAAGGCGGTTCATTACCAATGCTATTTAAAAATGAAACAAAAATTACTCTAGACTTCTGTGAAAGTCATATAGAGGCTGGTACTATGTCAAGCCCACATAGGTTATCCTAGCTTCCGAAGAGATCAGTTGAGTCATCATCCTTGAGTCACATTTTGATCTTGACTATTAATCGCTTATAAAACTTGACTGCTTATATGTAGGCGAACGTGTGTGTATTTCTTATCATACCTAACACGTGCCTGTAATTTATTTTTGTTCGACTATATATATTAATTCATGTCTAGCCTGCATGCCTCCTCCAATCCCTATCGCTTTTGTTCCTCCGCTCCCTCTGCTTAGTTCTCCCGATTGTCTGTCAAGATTAATTAGTGTGCAAATATAGCCATTCAAAACCTCATTCTCGTATTTGACTTATTTAATTCCCACAGATTGAAATCATGAGTCAGTTGAAGCTAGACCACCATTGAAAACCTGGAAGCACTGGACGGCCGTTTCGTCCTAGTATGGGACTCCTCAGCAGTGCGCGTCCACGATCCCGCACCACGCGTGGCTCGAACCCAGGACCCACTGGCTTCGCGCGCGAGCACTTAACCACTAGACCACTGAGTGCTCGCGCGCGAAGCCAGTGGGTCCTGGGTTCGAGCCACGCGTGGTGCGGGATCGTGGACGCGCACTGCTGAGGAGTCCCATACTAGGACGAAACGGCCGTTCAGTGCTTCCAGGTTTTCAATGGTGGTCTAGCTTCAACTGACTCATGATTTCAATCTGTGAAAATTTCTACAAATCTCCACAAACCCCTTCTGATTATTTAATTCCATTATTCACCAGCGCGGTTTAGGTCGATGAATATATACGAGAGTTGACGATATGCTTATTTCATTAACAATCACCCGTCCGACCTAATTATAATCAGATTTTGGCTCGTATAAGACTATATAAAGAGAGTAACTACAATAAGCGTTTGTCGAAAGTTCATGGGCCTTTCTTTCTCTGTCTCAAAGCAGCCTTCCTACAAGATTTGAGTAAGCGAGAACCAACCAGAACTATCCAGGTGCATATCTCAGAGGACAAGACATCCACATACCCTGTCTAGCAAAGTTTGAGTTGGAGCCTTGTTTTAATTTATGGCGGTGAAAAAATTCTTGACTGTCCTTATAGGAGCGCAATTCAAAATGTATTGTTCCGAGGTATGTTTGTTTAGTTCCTTATCGACATTAATATTGTTTCCTAAAGAGTTGTATTGAGGTAATATGTTTCGTGATTCATTGTCTGTAGATGGATCTGGAAGTAAAGATGTTGCTGTAGGATTATAATTTATGGACGACTTTTGGCGACGCTAGTGACGTAGAGTCTAGTGGCCTTATATCTCACTTGGTATGGTATGCTGACTGTTAGCGAAATACACATGCCGCCAACCCCCGCACATTTTTATTTATTTAACTCGCTTTGAAAAACAACTATAAAATAAGCCTAGTGTGAGGATGGGTTTTGAATACGTATATTTCATACACTCATTGATCCATACAACAAGACATAGGATCGAAATAAAGGAAGCAGGACAAAACGAAGCGAAGCAGTGCGCAGCGAAGTAGACACGTGAGCCAACTCATTTTGATCAAGAGTGATTCAATATTTATAGTCAGACGCAAATTAAGTTCGACACTTAATGAGTAGGATAAGCGGCGAGACTCTAATTTAGGAACGACCTTTGAACGAATCTTAAATGACCTTGACAATCATTAGTCAATCAGAAGACAGTATAAAGTAAAAATATATTATAAGAAAGTAATGATTTACAATGAATATTCTTCTTTTACATGATTTAAAAACTTGTTAAGGTTTGATAAAGGTTCAGAGGTTCTGAATTCATAATGCATACAGTCACTAACCTAGACCACATTAAGTGAGAAAAAAGTCGCCACCACAGAAAATAATCGTTACGTACATCTAGAGGTATGATTCAGAATCAAACTTATTGTGGCGGTTGTAATCCTTCTCGTTAAGTTTCGAGTTGGGTGTCATCCAGTACTTTTAGTTTCTTTTTCTCGTTTCCTCATCCTTAGCTTTCCGATGCAATTAATTTCATTATTTTCATTGTCTGATCTATCTTGTTAATTTTCACTGTCAATATCTCAATGTAAATTATCGCATTTATTTATTTATATGAACATAAATATTACCCGACCGTTGTTGCTACCTTGACGTGGTGGTCGGGCTTGCCTATCGTGATGAAGCAACCGAGCTATACTGGCTGGAACAACCGTTCCTCAAGGTCCTACCATGTCAGACAGGTCGGTTGAAGAGCGGTAAGACTAAAAGCAACAAACCCAAGGTCCGAAGGCGAAGTCGTACTGCTGACTGTACAGAGGTGTGACAGCAGTAAGGTGTTTCCTTCAGACAACCAGCATGACAGCGATGCTGCCTTCCCACAAGGAGGGGTGGGGTTAGAAAAGGTCGACCCTAAAAATGCACACCTCGCCTTATCCCACGGATATCCGTCTCCGGCGGTAAGGTCTCAATAAGTACGGAGCTAACACAAAAATTACCCATAACAAGGTCGTGTGTGACCGACCTCAAGCAGTTGTCCCTTGGGCACTGCGGTCACGCTTTCAGGTCACTAAGACCACTTCTAATCCAATTTCCTTTTCAGGTACCTCCAGAACAACCCTTCCACGGTGTGGGCAACCGGGAAGTGATAACCGCCCTCATACTTCTAACAGCACTCAAGACCACTGTATTCATAATCAACCTCCTCTCCAATTCCTATTATTCCTCCTACATCGACTTTCAACTCTAAACTTCTTTTTTCGGCTTCCCCCTCAAGTGTCACCATAGCCAACGATTCTAGTGCTCAAAACACTGTCCCAGGTCTACTGAAACCTCGCTCCAAACTACACATTGGAGCCTTCAATATACGCACCCTATGTCAAATCGGTCAGCAGGCTTCCTTGGCAAAAACCCTAGATTCTCTTACCATTGATGTATGCTGTGTCTCCGAAACACGCATACAGGATTCCAGTGTGGTCATTCACTTGACCTCACAACGGCAAAACGGAGAGCCAACGAGATACACCCCCCGTGTATCTGGTGACCCGATGGCCAGTTCTCGTGGACTGGCAGGTGTAGGCATAGCACTAAACATGAGGGCGGAACAAGCACTGCTAGAGTGGATCCCCGTCAACAGTCGTCTATGTGCTGCTCGGCTAAACGGCTCCGTAAGAACTCGGAAGGATAGGGACACACGTCGTTGCCTTTTTGTCGTTTCTGCCTACGCTCCCACTGACTGCAGCTCAGATGAAGTGAAAGATGAATTTTACAGAAAGCTGAACGTTCAGACATAGTACTTGTAGGGGGTGACTTTAATGCTCAGATAGGTAGTTTAAACCAAAACGAAAGGCATTTAGGTGGATATTTTAGTATTCCGACACAGCGAACAGACAATGGTGATCGTCTGCTGCAACTCAGTCGGCTACAACGTAGGACCAGGCACACATATGCATCGGTCCAGGTTGCCATACCGCATCAGCACAACAAGATGAACACCAGATTCATAGCAGTGGTTAGGGCAAAGGTGGTAATATACAAGAGAAAGATTGCATATAGGAATATAGTACAGTAAGAAAGAATTAGTTCGTAGAAAGAAAGATATGAAGCAATTTTAATCTCTTAGTTTAAGGGAAGACAAAGAGTGTATACACCTACGCCATTGTGATCGATTCTGAGCCATGTTACATAAATCTTGTAAAGGCTCTTTACTCGAACACTACTAGTCGAGTCAGGGCTTATGGCGAACTGTCATCTACTTTTGCAACCTCAAGTGGTGTCCGTCAAGGCTGTCCACTTTCCCCATTTTTGTTTAACTTCATCATAGATCTACTGATGGAAATAACTTTCTCGTCGACTGAGTTCTCGGGTACTGATCTCCTACCAGGAGGTCCACTTATCGACTTAGAATACGCAGATGACATAGTCCTGTTTAGTGAAGACGCTGACAAAATGCAGAGTCTTTTGGTAGCACTAAGCAACAATGCCAGAATGTTTGGAATGCGCTTCTCTCCCTCTAAATGCAAGTTGTTGCTTCAGGACTGATCTGCGTCATCACCTGAACTAAGGATAGGGAGTGAAGTAGTCGAACGCGTTGACAACTTCGCTTATCTTGGAATTCTGATCAGCCCTAATGGGTTGGTGTCTGACAAAATCTCAGCACGGATTCGGAAAGCTCGCTTGGCTTTTGCCAACTTGCGTCACCTATGGCGAAGGCGAGATATCCGTCTATCAATAAAAGGACGAGTATACTGCGCGGCAGTCCGTTCTGTTTTAATTTACGGCAGCGAAACATGGCCATTAAGAGTAGAAGACACTCTTAAGCTATTAGTATTTGACCACAGATGCCTTAGAAATATTGCTGGCGTCTGCTGGGATCACCGGGTAAGTAATAGTGAGATTAGACGCAGGGTATTAGGAAATGATGGTAAATCAGTTGATGAGCTTATGAATCTTCATCGACTGAGATGGTTGGGCCACGTGTTACGTATGCCTGAACACCGATTACCACGACGGGCAATGCTGACTAGTGTTGGGGATGGTTGGAAGAAAGTTAGGAGCGGCCAAACCAAAACGTGGCATCAGTGCTTGAAGACACTAACTTCTAGTCTGAGCCATGTTGGTAGATGCAGACTACTTGGTTGGGGTCCGCGTGACTATCGTAACCAATGGTTGGAGACTCTTGGTGACATGGCTCAGAATCGATCACAATGGCGTAGGTGTATACACTCTTTGTCTTCCCTTAAACTAAGAGATTAAAATTGCTTCATATCTTTCTTTCTACGAACTAATTCTTTCTTACTGTACTATATTCCTATATGCAATCTTTCTCTTATATATTACCACCTTTGCCCTAACCACTGCTATGAATCTGGTGTTCATCTTGTTGTGCTGATGCGGTATGGCAACCTGGACCGATGCATATGTGTGCCTGGTCCTACGTTGTAGCTGACTGACTGACATAAATATTGGTGCAAAGGGGCACCAAATACATATGCACCACACAAATCTCATTTGATATGTGTGAGGGCTGTGATACTACCCGGGTGCCCAAACCGAAGTAGACGGTTTTCTTAGGGGGCCACACCCAGAGCCTTTGACCTGAGGGTCTGATCCACAAGACAGTGGAGCAACGTTAGGAGATGCAGTTCCATGGCATCCGGTGGCCAGCAATTGGTTCATAGCCATTTGTTCCTTCAGGATACTGGAGCCCGTGTGCACCATTGGTTTGGGATCCCGTTAAGGCGACGGACATTCGCTTTTCCTCCTCTCACTTTCGTAAGCAACACCCCCTCCACGAGAAGGTAATGAGTAGGATTTCCCTGTCAGAGGCTATATACGCGTGACCGTGTGAGAGCATTTCGAGAGGGAGAGAGAACTCTCCACACCATTGGCTGTACTAGGGCATTTGGGAGTGATAAGGAGAAAAACCGAACATTGGCGACTTAGTCCAAAAAGACAAGGAATAGGTTTATATAAAAGAATACTGGAACTAACTACCTGGATCAAAATGAAAGTGATTAAATGCGCATCACTGTTACCAATTCTGAACCATTCCTCCCAACGTCTCTAACGAATAATCTTTTAAGCATTCATTAAAATCGTAAAGTATATAGTACTGAGATCAAACCTAACGTTTTGTTCTTGGAATGTAAATACATTTACTTCTATAGCAAGTAGTTTTATAATGTATTTTACGTTGATAAATTTTTCACAAGTTTATGCAATTATCATCGATGAGGTCAAAAACAATCCTATAATCAATTGTTTAAATGACAAACTGTCATAATTGTATGGCTTGTGGATAGTTATAATTGATATCAAACTTCAAACTTTTAACTAAGAGACTTCGTTTGAAGATTTACATTGTTATTATATCGTCTAGTTTTGGTTTTGCTATGAATGCATTATTAGTTTGTAGCTAGTATTTTTCAGCTCCAATGATTCTAAAATGTTAATAATGAAATTCTCCAATTTAGAGGGGACTAAAAGTTGGCTACTAATTGTATACCAACACATGGCACGAACTTGTTTGGATAACTCCCAGTCCACGTGTATCTGGTTTCCAAAAACTAATATATCAACAATAGTCTAGGTAGCTGGTGACAGATCCTTACTACAACAAGCTTCTCATTAAAGACTTATGGTGCTACTTATAGTACCCGCCTACAATTTATGAAGTATTGGATTGGATTTCAACTGTTGCTTTTCCGATCTCGGGGACCAAACGGTGTCAAGGTGTTTGCAGAAAAAATGTCTGGAAATCCATTTGTTCACGAATATGTACGTGGATAAACGAATTAGTTTTTTTACATGTATGTAGTTCGAAATAAGGCTGTTTACGAGGCATTCATTTGTTTATATTATTGTAAACTAGCTTACATGGCTCCGAAAAAAACATGCTCATCAATGGAGCCATTGTTCAGCTTTTCTAGAATTTTGGATCGGTGAGCTACGATTCCCATCCCCGTTCCACCTACTTGGGCTACTAGGTATCGGTAATTAGTTGACAAAATGTGTTTTCTGTTTTCGACTTGACATCAATCAAACTATCGCCGCTCTGCCGGAACACACGATACCGAACCTCTGCATTACTGTTGCCACTGGATGTCAGCAATCCTTCGGTGACAAAAATGATCAAACACAGAGAGTCGTCTAACATTCTCAACTCTGAGATGCCAGGTTTCACAAGCATAAAGCAAAACTGGTCTCATCGACGCGTTGTAGATTCGACCTTTAACAGCCAGACTAACATCGCTTAGGCGCTGAAATAGCCCAGATTGACATCAACCATTCTGGCTTTCACTACACGTCAATTAATCTCATCACTCACGCCATTACCGGTACTTGCGCGGCTACCCAGACACAATAATTCGACTACTTCTATCCGGTTGTGGTCTGTGCACAGTTGCAGTAGATGGTCCCCGTTATCTGACCTGCGACCAACGAGTCCCCATCGGCAACCTAAACGACTCTCTTCTGTGCCTAGACGCTCGACCTGAGCATTCAAGTCTCCGGCTAGTACTACAATATCTGTCGAACGCACTTTCTGGAGAAGAACAGATAACTGGTGGTAAAACTCATCCTTGATTGCATCCGGGTTGCAATCTGTCGGGGCATAGGCGGAGATGACGAAAAGACATAGTTTCTCACGCCGATTTCTTCTCACTTTGATGGAACTTTCTAATCTAACAGCACATAACCGACTGTTAATGGGGATCCAATCGACTAGTGCTGCCTCAGCTCTAGCGCTTAGTGCGACACCAACGCCAGCAAGACCAGACGAAGATGCCACAGGGTCCCCGGATAAGCGCACGTAAAACAAGCTTTTCGAAGCGACAGATGGAGATCGAATTTGTAGTACTTCGCCGGAGTCTTAAATACGGGTTTCGGATAGACAGCAAACATCAATATTGAGACTTTACAAAGACATAGCCAGCCCTACCTGTTGTCCGACCTGCATAAATGTGCGAACGTTGAAGGCAGCCAGTTTGAATGGTGCACGTGGTTTCAGAAAAACTGCTTCACTCCTCGTATTCGGCGGTAACATACAATTTTCAACCGAACAGTGACTCGAGAACGTACATACAATACCTACAGACATTTGTTGCCAACTGACTATGTGCGGATTGCATGACTTGGCTATTATCGCACAGTAAGACAATATCATCACCATACTCAAGGTCGAAAAGTCTTTCTCCAGGCAACAGATGCACACCGCCATTACTTGAACCCATCAGAGCTGTTTGTATGCAAATTTGGAGAGGAATGGTGAAATTGACTACCCAGCCTAACCCCACTGCTTGAATGAAACGATAGAGGAAGGTGATTGTATGCCCTCATTCTGTCAGTATGCAGGGCTTTCAAAATGTTAGTAAAATTTCCAGACACACCTTTCCTCAATATACAATCCCAGAGAACAGTCCTGTCCAACAAATCGAAGGCGACCCTAATGTTAAGAATAACTGCGATTCAGTCAGTCAGTAACAACGTAGAACTTCGTACGTACGTACGTACATCAGTTCGAGTTGCCACACCACATTCAAATCCCGTAGTGCTAGACGTAGTAAAATCATAAGCTGTCATCAGAAAAATTAGGGTTTGAAGATGTTATTCAAGGAGTATAATCCAGTGAAATTTGGAAAGAGGAAAAAGAAAAGGACATGAAGAATTCAGAAGATTAGAATTTGGGAGAACACAAAGAGTGGATACACCTTCGCCATTGTAAACGATTTTGAGCCATGTCATTCAGGGTCTCTAACCATCGGTTGCTATCATCTCGCGGTCCCCAACCAGGTAGTCTACACCTACCAACATGACTCAGTCCACTTGTCAGTGACTTCATGAACTTGTGCCATGTTTTGGTCTGGCCGCCCCTAGCTTTCTTCCAACTTACTCCTATACCACTGAACATCGCACGTCGAGGCAGTCGGTCGTTGGGCATACGTAACACGTGTCTCAGCCATCTCAGCTGATGAAGTTTCACTACTTCATCAATTGATTTGCCATCCTTACCTAGTACCCGTTTCCTAACAACTGTGTTACTTACTCGATGGTCCCATGATATACGAGCAATGTTTCGAAGACACCTATGATCAAATACTAGTAACCTATGAATATCCTCTACTCTTACCGGCCATGTTTCACTGCCATAAAGTAGGACAGGACGAACTGCCGCGTAGTAAACACGTCCTTTGGTTGATAGACGGATATCTCGCCTACGCCATAAATGACACAAGTTGGTAAAAGCTAGTCGAGCCTTCTGTATCCGTGCTGAGATTTCGTCACACACCAAACCACAAGGGCTGATGAGACTTCCAAGATAAGTGAAGCGGTTGACACACTCAACTACTTCACTCCCTATCATTAGTTCGGGTGTCGATGTAACCCAATCCTGAAGCAACATTTTGCATTTCGAGGGAGAGAATCGCATCCCGAACATGCTTGCATTGTTGCTTATAGTGGTCAGAAGACTATGCATTTTGTCAGCGTCTTCACCAAATAAAACTATATCATCGGCATATTCTAGGTCAACAAGTGAACCTCCCGGTAGAAGTTCAACCCCTGGAAATTTAGATGGGGAAAGTGTTATCTCTAAAAGTACGTCGACGACAAAGTTGAACAAGAATGGGGAGAGTGGACAGCCCTGACGAACACCACTTGAGGTAATCAATTCTGATGGCAGTTCGTCATAAGCTCTCACTCTACCAGTTGTGCTCGAGTAGAGAGCCTTTATAAGGTTAATGTACTTCTTTGGTACTCCTTTCAGTGACAAACACTGCCATAGAACCTCACGATCAATCGAGTCGAATGCCGCCTTAAGGTCGAGAAATACTACCATTGTGGGGCGTCTGAATGTGTGTCTGTGTTCTAGAACCTGACGTAGTGTGAATATCTGATCTATACAACCACGTCCAGGTCGAAAACCAGCCTGGTTTTCTCTAGTCTGCTCTTCACGAGCTTTGATTAGGCGTCGAAGTATTATTGAAGCTAATATTTTAGACACTATATTTGTCAAACTGATTCCTCCTTGTGGGAAGGCAGCATCGCTGCAGATGCTGGTTGTCTGAGGGAAACACCTTACTGCTGTCACAGCCCTCTACGGTCAGCAGTACGACTTCGCCCTCAGACCTTGAGTTGCTGCTTTTAGTCTTACCGTTCTCCAATCGACCTGCCTGGCATGGTAGAACCTACAGGGACATATGTTCCAGCCAATATAGCTCGGTTGGGTCATCACGATAGGCAATCCCGACCACCGCGTCAAGGTAACAGCTTCGGTCGGGATAACTACGATTGTTGGTCTGCGATAAGTATGACGGTTTTATAACATTTGGCGGAGGGTGAAGATATGATCAATACATCCTCGACCAGAACGAAACTCAGCCTGCTCCTCGCGAGTCAATCTTTCTCGGGTTTTGTACAACCTACGAAGTATGACGGAAGCCAATAGCTTGGACGCAATCAGAAGTAGACTTATCTTCCGATAGTTGTTAAAGAGACGACGTGAACGTTTTCCAAACGTAGGGACAATTATTGACTCATTCCACGATGTTGGGACACTCTAATTGCCAGACCTTTGTGAACAACTCAGTCAGTTCCTTAGCCATAGAGTCATCTTTAAAAAGGGTCGGAAGTTAGTTTTCTGTCTGGGCCCGGTGATTTGTAGCGCTTTACGAGTTCGAGTCCTTTCCGGACTCCCGCCTCATTTGGTGGATCAATCGTCACAGGTCGTAAAGAGCAGGATAGTCTTATCGATCACTGTCCTCTCCTAGTGGGGGCTGTTGTTTACGAAGTTGAGAGGACGAAAAGCGAATGTCCGGCTCTCTAACCGAGTTGACGGATATGGAGCGTTCACCTAGGGGAGTTGGAAAACCCTCATTCCAAACCAATGGTGCACACGGGCTCCAGTATCCTGAAGGAACAAATGGCGTATGAACCAATTGTTGGCCACCGGTTGCCATGGAACTGCATCTCCTAACGTTGCTCCACTGTCTTGTGGATCAGACCCTTAGATCGAAGGCTCCGGGTGTGGCCCCCTAAGAAAACCGTCTTCTTCGGTTTGGGCACCCGGGTAGTATCACAGCCCTCACACATATCAAATGAGATTTGTGTGGTGCATATGTATTTGGTGCCTCCTTGTACCAATATCTATGTGTTCAAATACAATAATAAATAATTTCGATAGGCTGTTAGCTAACCTTGAACCTAGCTCGGTTCGATACCTAGTTGCAACGTAAGTTACAACCAACTTGCTGACATCAATCCTTTGGTGACGATCACTTCGTTGGCCACTGAAAAGTAAGGCAAGATTGGCATGATCAGAGTCCAGATAGGTACTCCAAAAGGAGCGGCAGTCTTGTACACAACCACGCCAGCGGTAGCTGATCGCGATGTGACCAATCTGAATCCAGGCTTTAGACGCAGAGAAAGGGTGCCAGGTGGTACATCGGCGATGACTGTGCCGGTAGTTTGTGCTAGCCAGAAACAGGTTGTGGTCTGTGCACAGTTGCTGTAGACGGTCCTCGTTATCTGACTTGCGGCCAACGAGTCCCCATCGAACTTATCTTAACAACAGACATCTCCAATACTAGTATAAACAGCAAACAATGAGTCTAACGTTTCGTTATTATTTAGAGAAAATAGTATTTAGTATATATTACTGAGTTACTATTATTTTATTTATCAAGGTTATCATTTCCTGCTCATCTGTAACATTTTATAGATTCATTCATTAGTGTTTTTTCTCATAATAGCCACAAATTCAGATCAATTCTGTGAATAATCTCACTACAACTATTCAGAATACGTTACAAATGACAGTTTCAACACTACTGAATCAAATTTTAGAAAATTCAAATATTGTGAGTTTGAAATATTAAACCTTTATTTAAACTTAGAGAAACATTAATTCTGCGACAGTTTATATAAAGAATATTAAAACTGTCCAACAGAAGTTAGAAATATTGACTACTAGTGGGAAAGACAAATTGTAAGTGTCTATAATTTTATCTATCTAATCATCTTTGTATAAGTTTCTTCAATTTGAAGATAGTTTTTATAACGAACTGATACTTGGTGAAAAATTATTCAGAATCCGACAAATTTTCGTCCTGACTTCGAAAAAACCAAACTATATTCAAAGCACTGAGTTGATGCTGATTGTCGATATCATTTAGAACTTACAGCTTATACGATTTCACTTTATACAGAGTGTGGAAGAGATCGAATCCTCCAGGAAGTATTAGTTCTCTCAAGATTTCAGGTACACCTTGTTGACGAGTGTCAAATAGTACGAAATATAGACCCTGGGGTCTCCTTTTGACTACCTACGACCACCACCATCTAACAGTGGAGTCTAATGTTTCAACAAAATAAGAGGTTGTTTTTATCGTGAGGCTTGGTGCAGTTCAGGGGAGATGCTAATTACCGAGGCACTACTACTACCTCAGTACTATGTTTTGTTTGAATCCCAATCTGTTGCTCTTCCTGATTGATTTTAGACTCCACATTCGCTACTTATAACTCATGATAAGTCACTGGGTGAAAATGGCCACCTTTTATTTAACATGTACTAGTTATTGTCTGTACCTTTGCATCCTTCATCTTCGACATAAAACTGGTTGGCTTTTGTTCGATAAGTATTATGGAGTCATTGAAATATAATTAGAATTCACTTGGATCTAGAATCCAAACCCTCATCGGAGTATAACTGGTTAGCTTGACGCGTTACTTATATATAGTTGGTTTATATATAGTCATGTTGATTCTTCTTTTTTGGCTTCTTTTAGAGAAATTATTACAGATTTTGATCGTACACTATCAAAATATTGTCATGATGGTGAACTTGTCCCGACTTCTTATGGTAACTTGTTTCAAATTTCTATAATACATCTTTTTCTCTAGGTATTTTTGAATCAGATCCTGAATTAACGGAAACAGCGAAATCCATGGTGGGTGGTCATCTACTGGTTTAAAGAAAAAATCATATGTGATTTCAGTTCCGAGTAGTTGGTAGATTTATTGGTGCTCAGACTGTTTAGTTATTACTTACGCCTGTTACCCCTCATGGAGGAGCATAGGCCGCCCACCATTATTGGAGGGTGATGGGTTAGTGGTCATAAACTGCTCAGCTTCCAACCAATAGGTTGCAGGTTTGACTCCCGTTTTATACATTTCGCTTTGGATAGCCCTGTAATTATCACTACTAGCCCTCACATATAACTGAAGTATTACTCAAAGCCCAGTATCTAAACCTGTATTTAGTGAATGAATTACAATAGAACAAGAAGAATCGTTGAACAAACGAAGTGTTATTCATATTTCGTGTAGAGTTGTATAAACATGTTTTTAGATGCTATTTCACCGACTTTGATTTATAAAGCTGGATCACATATGTCTTGTATTTGAATATTGAGTGTTTCAAAGTTGATCATACTAAACAAGAATAAACCTGTTTAGTGATTTGTGTCAGTATTCCCACTTTAAACTCTCTAGAATGAAGTATAAAATCTCAAAATTTTATCCCGACTATCCTGTATTTGACTCATCATTTCATCACTGACTAACTGTTGTAACGGATGCGGACTGCAGGGTTTGATAAGCAGCGTATTTATTGATCGATCGCAGTACAGTGACACGGAAAACACGTACGGACGGCCTAGAGTCTCTATTGGTCTCGCTTCCCTGTCTAGCCCAGTCAGTTGAGTCCAGAACACAAGTCACAACCTCTGAGATATGAATCGTTGTATTTCAAACATACTTTGTTTATATACCAATCAAGCACACCACATCGTACCATAAAATAGGGAACAACATTTACAATATATTTAACAAGTGAATAAACATCGACCAATAAGAAATGTACATTTAAAGTCCAAGGACACCACTGGACTTAACATGATAATTATTGGTCTATTCTTCCGCATCCACAACACCTCCCCTTTTTTTTGAAGATCCGGAGTTGATATCCGGATTTTGAAATTTTCTGGGTTCATCCTCCCCCACGAAATAATGTTGGGTCCTCATATTCCCAAGTTAGAATTAATTTGACTTTATTTAACACATAATTGTCAGATTGAACAGGGGAGTCACTGAAAGTGATTAAATAGTGGGGAACAATGTCGCTTGATATGAGGTCACCAACGTTTGATTCTTCTGGAACATTGTCACGGGATTTGTTGAAAATCTCATTTGTAAACAGTTGATCACTGCGATAATCAACATCTATCAAAATTGTATTAGATTTCTGATCATCATTTAATGCATTTAACACATTTTCTGGTACAAAAAGATCTAGATAATAAGATTCGTCAGAATCTCCTGTTGTTGAATGATGAGGACCATTTGAAACAGCTGGATTCAGTGTACCGCACGATTTGTTCCCTGTTCCGTTGTGGGCGGGTACTGCAATTAATTTATGAGCATTTAATAAGAGATCCTCCTGTGAGCTGGGTACATCACTGTCTGTACACGTTTCAGGAACAGTGGGATTTGAACCCACGACAGGGAACGTTTCGGAATTTGACATTTCTGGACAACTGGGCGGACCATGAATAACTGTCTCGTTTACATCACTGGTCGTCCGGGATTCACAGAGGCTTTTATAAACAGCTTCATATGTTCTGCAGTTGTTTTCCAGCTCAGTCTGCAGATGAGAAATGAATTTACCAACTTCTGTTGCACCTCCGAAACATGGAACATTTACCAACAGTGTGCGTAAATTTTCTAAAAAATTTAACTGGCTATTTTTGAAGCACTGCTGTTGTTGCTCAAGTAGAAGCTGTAATCGATCGGAAAAGGTAGTCATTTTTTTTTCAGCACCTGCAATGAAAATTAACTGTAGGAATAATGACCAATGTTGCTCAAGGACGCTGGTGACAATCTGGATGCTGATTGGTCGAAACAATTAACCTGAATCTCGTCCAATTACAAGGTTCAAAATTTTTCTCCACCCCGTCGCCAATTGTTATGAATTTAAGTTGTGAGACTGCAGGGTTTGATAAGCAGCGTATTTATTGATCGATCGCAGTACAGTGACACGGAAAACACGTACGGACGGCCTAGAGTCTCTATTGGTCTCGCTTCCCTGTCTAGCCCAGTCAGTTGAGTCCAGAACACAAGTCACAACCTCTGAGATATGAATCGTTGTATTTCAAACATACTTTGTTTATATACCAATCAAGCACACCACATCGTACCATAAAATAGGGAACAACATTTACAAAATATTTAACAAGTGAATAAACATCGACCAATAAGAAATGTACATTTAAAGTCCAAGGACACCACTGGACTTAACATGATAATTATTGGTCTATTCTTCCGCATCCACAACACTAACAATATTAGGTTTACTAGTACTAGTGTTAAAGATGTGTATCCTTATCAAATGTTACCTGCTAAACTGCGACACGTTTTCCATAAGCTGTGACAGATGGAGTTCAACATGTCGGTTGTGAGGCTGTTACCTACTAAATGACGTAGTAAGATTTTTGGGTGACACTGAGAATTAATTAAATTTGGAAATTTAAACCATTGGATGCTGGGTTAGCGGTTCAAATGTTAAGCGTTTAACGCGGGATCTGAAAATCCCATGTTCGATTCCCAGTGAATTCGTGAATAAACTAATGTGTGGGCGAGAATGATAATGATTAGTTGTTTGCTTAGTCAAAGTAATAGGTAGCCCGACAGGTACTTGATGAGTTATATATTCTCCTACCCTTGTTATTATTGGATTGTTGTCGGTTTTTGGTGTCGAAATATACTTGCGTTCTAGTCAGGCTAGTCACGTTTTCTCGATCTGAGTTGTGTTGAAGTCCTGTAGTATAGACACTGGGAGGGTATCTAGTGTAGATGTTCGTATACGGCAAATTAGCATCTCATACACGTAGACGAAAAATCGAGCGTTATAACATATACACTGCTAAATAGCCCCATATCAGGACGAAACAACTGTCTAGTGCTTCCTAGTCTTTTATGGTTGTCCAACTAATGTCAGTTCGTGATGTAAGCTGCGAAGTTCAAAACCTAAGCAAGCTCCCTCAAACAATATATATTTCCGTCCCCTAGTTTTCAGTGCTTTCATTTTTTTCTCCAAATTAATTACAGTCAATAATAATAATAATAAATTGAGAATTATGTATCTGTTTTTGGGTCTCATTTTCATTTATATATCACATTTTATTAAATATTAGCTTATAAGTCTACGGAACAAATACTATCCTATTGAATTGGATAATAATCTTACAGAAAATGAAAAAACCCCGTATATGTTAGAATGGTGGGAATTAGCTCATGAAGTAATTATTGAATGTGGAATACAAAAACACACATTAGAAAGAACTGTTAAAGAATGCCATTTAGTGTTACGGTGAGTAGTTAGTTGTCATATCTTTTTTTATTCTTTTTTTTTTAATAAGATATTCATTTTAAATGAATAAATTTCCTTTTGAGGTGACCTAGTAAATGACTTAACCTTGTGGAGATTATTGAGTTTTTGATTGAGATCATGAACCGATTGATGTTAAGCCAATTTTCGGAGGTTTATTGAGAAGCCATGACTAGTGGAGCTAATCCGTGTCTGGTAGAGACAGTCATCTACCTCAGTACAATGGAAAATGGTCGCGCAATATCGTGGATTGGTTGAGGTTAGACATTAACACCGTTGGATGCCGGCTCTGGTCTAGAAATCAAGCGTTCGTGCGCGAGACCGAAGACCCTAGGTTCGAATCCCTCTGATGGGATCGTGGATGCGCACTACTGAGGAGTCCCACAATAGGACGAAACGGCCGTACAGTGCTTTCAGGTTTTCAATATCAGTCAATTCATGATTTCAATCAAATACTTAACTTCTATCTATTTGTCATATGTATAAAAGTTAGTGATACTTACAAATTAACTCCTTAAAATAAGTGACATAATATTTGAACCTGAAACTTATTCATTGAAAGTTGAATGTTTCAACCAGTTAGTCACAGTTTATTTTTTTACTAAGATATTTTTGTTAATCTAGAATTATTAACACTTCAAAATCATATTATTTCATATGTTAAGCTTAACTTTCATACTTGTCCGTATACATTAGTTTATTCTTAAATCTCAAGTTATTCATGTGTATATTTGGTTTTAAAATCATTCTTTTTTAAAGAGTACTTACTTCTGACTGTTACTCCTCGTGGAGAAGCATAGGCCGCCCACCAGCATTCTCCATCCAACCCAACCATTTTTTTAAAAAAATTTGATTGTTAACAATATTCTGGAACTATATTCTTAATTATAAGCAAAGATGGATAGTAGCTAGCAGTGGAATCCAGGACGCGCGTTTCGTCCTGTTTGGGACTCGTCAGCTGGATGTGCCTGCATCTGAGTTGATGTTCACTCTGGGACTCGAACTCAGTACCGTTCGTTTCAAACGCCATCGCGTTATCCACTTAGCTACTGAGTCCTGATAGCCACTTGCTTGTGCAATGGGTTGAAGTTGAATTATAATGCTTGTAAATTTAGGCAATATCGAGGCATACGCACAGTATGCACATATGCCAATAAGAGACTGATCAATTTCAGTCCAAAAACATCAATGGGAAAATTCAAGTAAAACAATATCAAGTGAATATATTCTTAATTGTTTCTATGGTTTTTATCTTATATTTTCTTTGTTTTATAACTTCAGTGATAAAGTGAGTGAATTTTTCCAATTATTATCGGATCATCATATACCAGTATTGGTTTTCTCAGCTGGACTTGGGGATGTAATTGATTTATGCCTTCATCATGCAAATGTTTTTCATGATAATATGCGTGTTGTTTCAAATTTTATGCAGTTCAACGATGATGTAAGCATTATTATTATTATTATTATTATTATTATTATTATTATTATTCTAGTAGTACTGTAATATTTTATCACTCAAGTACCATCTTTCTAAGAATCATGAATGACACATAAATATAGCTCAATTATAGATTAATTATATTGTCAGTTTGACAATAAACAACAAACTATTTCATTTTCTACTGGCTAATATGCAAAAAAAATACGAGATCTATTTCATTCAAAACAGTATTTGACTATATTTTCTTTTGTACAGTGATTATCAAGAGGTTAGTCACGACCCGAGTGTCTCATTGGTATCATTTCAGCATGTTATACAATTGCGCGAGTTTCAGTCTCATGAGAACACAAATACCCCTAGAAATTTCACGTGTATACCTAGTTGACGTGTGCCAACTAGTTTGAAAGCCATATTTATAAGGCTCCATCCTGAGTACCTTTAATCAGCTAACAGTTAAATTATATTTTCATTCTTCGAATAACACTATTTCGTTAATGATATAATTTTTTTATTCTTAAAGATAATTTACGTCATATGTTTGCATCAGTTAGAATATTCATTTAAACCTAACTCAGAATAGTTGTTTCAGCCTTCTTTACGACTCTTCAACAGTGTCTATGTATCTGTAACACCATATAAAAGAGACTTTATATATATATATATATATATATATATATATATATATATATATATATATCAGACATCCATTAGTGCAAACAGATGATGAGAGATTTGGGTCAGAAAAGGCAAACGTGTCTACTGGATGAATAATAAACAGCTCATTCGTTATATCACAATGACTAATGTTTAAATTACAGAAGACCGAAAACAGTAACGATAATAGACACATATATATAGTAAGTTCACATTGAATTAATTATCAAGGTCATAGTTGAAAAAGTACATAGGAAGATAGTAAAATATCTGATCGGATTAAAATGATATATTCAAAATCGACTACCTAGTAGTGTGATATGTTTTAATTTTAAAGGCTATCTATTCTTTAGTGACGATCTAAAGTATTTAAAGCAATTAGTTCCTTTAATAAATCTCGATAGAACAATGAGAAGACGGAGTTGATCTGAAACATGTGATATATTTGTGCTATACGTTTCGAACAATCTGGTCACTTATATACTTGTCAGGGCATTTTACATGTATTTAACAATTTACATGTTTGTGTAGACACATACATAGGGAGGAGTAATCGGAAAATGAAGTCAAGGGTCATTGAATGTGTGCCTAGATGGCTTCAAAATCAATGTGCGTCAAATGATCCGCTCAACGTGTGAGGTAGAAAACCAGATTCATCGATAGCAAAACATATAATTGAAACGGGGCACAAAATTGATATTAATGCAGCTTTTAGAACATTGTATAGAAATTGTCAATTTTATTTCTTTTATTTTAACACATAAATATTGGTACAAGGAGGCACCAAATACATATGCACCACACAAATCTCATTTGATATGTGTGAGGGCTGTGATACTACCCGGGTGCCCAAACCGAAGAAGACGGTTTTCTTAGGGGGCCACACCCGGAGCCTTCGATCTAAGGGTCTGATCCACAAGACAGTGGGGCATCGTAAGGAGATGCAGTTCCATGGCAACCGGTGGCCAACAATTGGTTCATACGCCATTTGTTCCTTCAGGATACTGGAGCCCGTGTGCACCATTGGTTTGGAATGAGGGTTTTCCAACTCCCCTAGGTGAACGCTCCATATCCGTCAACTCGGTTAGAGAGCCGGACATTCGCTTTTCGTCCTCTCAACTTTGCAAACAACAATAATGCCACGAGAAGACAGTGAGTAGGACTTCCTTGGTAGTGGTTGTATGCACGTGGCCATGTGAGAGCATTTCGAGATGGAGAGCGGACTCTCCCCACTCTCGGTCGTACCAGGTCATTTGGGGGCATAGAAATTGTCAAGGACGAAGTTTATTAAAGCCTTGGCTATTCGTAAATTTAAACCCCCCTTATGTGTACAAAAACAATTTGTCGTAACCTTGAATTTACCTTGGTAATCTTTAAGTCATTTTATGGCCTAGGATAGCGCGACAATTCCTTATTCTTTCTATGCGATGAAAATTGTTTCTCTCCCTTTGTTACTTTTTTACTTGAACTTTCATTTAATTGACCTTTATTAATTTTCATATAAAATACCCTGACAAATATGTGTGACCAAATTGTTTGAAATGTATAGCGCAAATACATCACATGTTTCAGATCAACTCCATCTTCTCATTGTTCTATCGAGATCTAAAGTATCGATCAAAGTATACTTATCTATTAAATTGTTTTTAAACATAGATGGTTAAGTCATGAATTTGAAAGTTGGCTAATAAATATTGCAGGATTTCATTAAATTCAGTGCAAATTAACTTTCTACAGTGATTTTTCTGTGATTTAACTTGATTCATACATGTAAGGATACACCAAACACCTATTATTACATTTTAAAGAGTGGACATTGTTAACATATCAGTTTTGTTATTTCTGATAATTTATTTAAAAGAGGTTAGAGGAAATGTTGGTTATGGTAGCCACATGGATAGAATTCAATCAGCACTAGGAAGCATAATATTAATCAATACCCAGTGATCAATTGTTCCGTATAAATATGATCACAATTTACTTCAAATATAGGATGGAAACTAGCATACTAAACCGGTCGGCAAACACTAACAAAAGAGAAACATCTTTGATTGCGGTTAAATCAAAAGACACATTGTGAGGAGCTTTGGCTTCAAAAATCACTTGTTCGAAATGTTGAACAATAAATAAAAATATAACAAATGTGTTTCACCAAAATGATTTTAAAAACCAAACTATATACAACAACAATGTGTCTATTCAATTGAATGTACTTTAATTCTCCTATGAATGAGGAGAAATTTATCACGTATTGTATTCTACCATTCGTTATGCATACATCATTCTATTTCAACTTTTACTCACTTTTTTTCAGTTGGACTCAGTGTATTGTTCTTAATGTGAATGGTAATTTTTAGAAAATATTATCCTTGTCTAACGTTATTATCATTTGTATTGTTCTGTAGGGTAAATTAACTGGATTCAGTTCACCAATTATTCATGTATTTAATAAAACAGCAGGTTCTATTACAAATAATCGTATACCTAAGCGTCCTAATGTTTTATTACTTGGCGATTCTACTGGTGATGTGCACATGGCTGATGGTGCTACTGTTGATGATCCAACAGGTCAACTTGGAACAGTATTACGTATTGGCTTTTTAAACGAATCAGTAAGATATGCTTTTTTCCTCCGTCATTATATATACGAATGTATATACTAGACCAAACTATTCACAGAAAAACCAATTTACCCATTAAAAGTGTCACTACATCAATATGCTTCATATCAGGATGGTTTATTTTCAGTATAAGGTTGAGGAGATTATTGAATTTCATTAAGATTATGAACCGATTAAAGGTAGACAACCATTAAAAACTTGAAAGCAATAGACGGCCGTTTCGTCTTAGTATTAGACTCCTCAACAGTATGCATCTGGGACACCGAAACCGAGAATTTAATCCAAAACCTTCAGTCTCACTGGCGAACACTTAACCTCTAGATCATTGAGCCGGTAACCTATAATGCAGAAGTCTGACTTCAACAAAATCCCAACCTAAGGCCTTGCGGCGCTGCTGCGCAGTTGGGGTAACCGCGCTAGCCAACTTAGGCGGTCGACGGAGATCGGGATGATCACCCACTCTATTGAATATTTGATCAATTCATATTCTACTCGAGGCTCACTTAACCACACCGGGCCACCTGTTGTGTATGCTTATGTACAAAGGAAACGTTAGCTGAAATATTGTTTACCTTATGTCTAGTAAAATCAGCCGCCTAATGTATTAGGTCGAAGATATAATAAAATGATATTGTAAAAAAATACTAGAAAGAGGCTACCAATAACCTCTACTGACAGAATACTAGTCCAAGTGATTGCGAATCACGTCTATTATATTTCGGTGTTATATTTTTTAAGACAGTTTGTCGAAATCTCTGCTTAATCCGGATATCATGTTCTCTGACGTTCAAAAACAAAACTAATGATAAGGAATAAAGCAGTTTAGCCCTTCGAGTATTTCACTCAACGTAAAAATCCCAGCCCTCGTGGATTGCTGTGTGACGAAATCTCATCACAGATCCAGAAACCTCGGTTGGATATTTCCAACGTACGTCACTTGAGCTGCAGGCGAGATATCCATCTACCAGCAAAAAAAAACATTTAAATAATCTATATATTCTGAAAATAATAATTACAGAATTCACGCCAGTCTACAGCCATGATAAATTTGATATCAATAATAACATTAGATATACAGAACAAACATCTGATAGAAGAAAGTTTTAAGTATACTAGTTCAGTAGTTGTTTAAGTACTACATATATTACAGCGATCCAATGCATCAGCCGGGAACTTTTAATTTTCTTAAATGGACAGCCTGTTGATTTATGAACGGTGTAATTAAGGTCATTTCGTGTGCCAGATCGAATTATTGATAATTATCTACAAGTAGAGAAATTAAAACGAAAACAGAGAGCACGGAACAGCAAAGCAGTAATTACCAAAATGTGTGTGTCATGTGACACAGTGATATACTGTTGATGTTAGATATTATTCAAATTAGTTAAACTTGCTGGGGACGGTGTTAACATAAAGTGCCAACAAGTAGGTGGTTTTGCTTAGGTAATTCACTAATAAAAATGGCTAAATATTTAAACTTCCTATAATATTACTTGTGGAATGAGGTACACTTACAGGTGTTAGAACACTCAATGCATTTTCAGAGGAGCAGTATGCATCGATGCAACGAACAAATAATGGCAGTGATTTTATCGTACGGATAGATTGTGGCAGGTTATTCCAGAGTCTAGAAAATTTACAGGTGAAGTAATTCATATAAAGAGATGATTTAGAATAAGTTTGTTTCACTAGTGACAAGGAATTACGGATGTCATAGCGAGAGGTTTCTGCATATTGCATCACGTGGTTGGATGTAAAGGATAGTTTATTAAGTAGTTTGAAGAAAACGATAAGATTTAGTTTGAGTTTCCTCTTCCATAAAGGGTCTAGCCCGAGTTTATTACATCTAGAATTATAAGTTAAGGTACAATCAGCTGCAAGAATACGAAGTGTAAATCATCTCTGTACTGATTCCAGCTTTAATTTATCCTTTGTGCGCGCACTGCTAAGAATAAACGTGCAATATTCTACAAGTGGTCGAACACAAACTTTGTACATTAAAATACATGACTCATTGTTATGAAGGTTTCGAGTTATGTAACCTACAAGACGTTGAGACTTAGAGGTCTGTTTCAATATCTGTTCTGTAAACGACAAGTCTTGGGAGTACCTAAGTCTACTAATGTATGTAACCTAGATAACACTTCACCACTTATGGTAAGATCTAAGTTCAGTGATGTATCTCTGAAGCATATCCATCCACATTTAGCCGTATTGAGCTCCAGTTGCCATTTTAAGCACCACTGTGCTACCTTGTTAAGCTCCATGTTGATGCAATTTTGCATATTTTTCAGCTCATATGGAAAAAATAAATACACTACTTTAAGATCATCTGCATATAGAAGGGGCTTACCCACACAAAAACTTTCACAAATAACATTGATAAACACTGAAAAGAGCCTAAGACACTACCTTGTATTACACCACATCTAACAGGGACAGCGTTAGACAATGAAGAGTTAATTTTAACTATTTGATGTCGATTGCTGAGAAAGGAACCAAACCAAGCTAGCAAAGGATTTTGGACCTCATAAGATGCGAGTTTACCTATAAGAAGTTGGTGGCCAACCATGTCAAAGGCTTTAGAAATGTCCAGATATAGCACTAAGACTAGATATCCTTGGCTACGTAGAGAATAGACTAAATTAAAGAAGTCAAAATGACATGTCATGGAAGAACGATTTTTAAGAAATCCATGTTGAGTATCATTGATAAATTTTCCAGCGAGTAAATAGTTGGAAAGTTCATCACTTATAATGTTTTCCATAATCCTAGAGATAATTGGAGTAATATTTATCGATCGATAATTGTTCATGTCAGTCTTATCTCCAGATTTGTAACGTGGTATGATGTACGTGGTTTTCCAACAGTAAGGGTGTTATAATCGCTCTTTTGTTCTTACGGTTATGACTCAGCTATTCCTATTGCTTAGTATTCTCGGACACCGATTCACTCGACAAGTCCCCAAATCAGAACACGGTTGAACAGGAAAGAGATTATATTCCAAATAGCAAGTCAGAAGCACAATAGGGAAAACGTCAGTATATTTATAGTTTTTACATAAGAAGATTCCAGAGTGTTCTAAAACTATCGGCTAGTGCTGATTGGATAAGAATTAGCCAATCAGCGTGCACCAAAGCAATCATGCACTGAGCATGCTTTAATCTAGTCTATGTCCCGCTAACAAAGGGTAAGAACCAGTTTCCATAGAGAGAGTAAACAGCTTTAGAAGAAGAAATGGAATATCTGGACCACCACATTTTAGAAGAAAGGATGAAATCCCATCTGCTCCATGACCTCTCGAAAGCTTAAGAGTATTTATAACCTTATTAATGTTAATGCATGTGAAGGAGATAGATTTTATTGAGTCGCTAGTCACGCACATAACTCTTGAAGCAGAGCCACTTATGATTCTTACATCATTCGCAAAAATATCACTGTAAAGGTCTGCTATAGTTTTCGAGTCGTATATAAAAGTGCCATCATGCTAGATGCATGGTATTTCAACATTTTGAGTTGCTTTAGCGCGTTTATTGAAAGGGAGAGTGAAGTTTTGTACCTTCGAGTTAGTATTAAGTGCTAGTATCTCTTCATTAATGGCTTTTAACTTATGTTTTTCTTTAATTTGATTAAAAATTATTGTTATTTGTGCAACTGCCGTGAAGTCGTTTGACTTAAAATAACGTTTCTGTAGGCGTCTTAGTTTATTACGATATTTAGCTGGTATATATAATTTGTAAGGTTTACTGAACCTGTACGTTTCAAGAGGTACACAAAATTGCAAAGTGGCTAGTGCTAATCTTACAGCCTTTGCACAAATCAGTTGTTGGAAATAGTATAAAAGATGTCTTCGACTTCACCTCCAAAGTGGAAAATATTAATGTTATTATGAAAAATATGATCTCAGTGGATGTAGTATCTTTTTTCACCAAAGTACCGCTTACAGAGACTATTGAGTTTATATGCAAGCAAATATCAGAAAAACAGATCAACATTGACTTGCCTGACGATAGTCTAAAGGAACTGCTCTTAAGATGCACGCTGAATATCCATTTTGTCTTCAACAATACTTATTATAGACAAATAGACGGGATAGCCATGGCCTCACCTCTAGGCCCGATTTTAGCCGATCTCTTCTTAGCAAAGCTAGAAAATGGACCTCTTAATGAAACTATTAAGAAACTTGATTTATATTGCCGCTACATTGACGACACCATCATTATCGTAGATCAAAACACCAGTAAGGAGGAACTCCTAGAACAATTCAACAATGTTCACCCAGAAGTTCGTCCCCACATCCTACATATATCTGAAGCCATAGAAATTCGTACATATAACCCCAATTTATGTGTACAGAAGAAATTCGTAACCCCCTATAACTTAACTAACGATTTTTTTTAAAAATTATTATTTATTTATTTTATACTGTTTTTTGTTATCATTAGCCTTATTTTCACATCTAGTAGTATTTGTTTGTAATTTTCCGCCTCTTCCCGTTTGTATTCTTCACTATCTAGTTATTTACACACTTCTTATTACGTAATGATTTTAATGTTTTGTGATGACTATTCCAAGTCTATTTACCCACCTTTGACCTTCTATTCCCGACGTTTAACTATTGATAAGACTTTTGTTATCGTATTTTATTTTTCTAACTACTATCAGTACACTTGTCTTCCTATTATCAATTTGTATTTTTACTTATTATCTGTGGTGACTTATTCTATTTTATTGTGATTATTGACCTATATTGCCTTGATTGGTTTAACATTTTCGTATAAATATTCATATATATTAGAGTAAAGCCTGATGACGATCTAATTGTAAACAATTGTTCGATTATATGTGTTGTTCTAATGTCAAATATGGTGCAAACTCTCAGGTATTTATAATTTTTAGTAAAAATGAAATCATCATTACAGTCATCCAATCCGTATACATTGATTGTTAGCATTTGTCCAATAGGGAAGGTACACGTCGAGATTCTGGAAGTTTCTTCCAAAAGATGATTGCGTGAACTGTCTTCGTCTCTTTTGATCTTAAATAAGAAAGATTAGTTAGTTCAGCGAAGAGTTCTCTTTTCAGGGAATTCATTTTCAAAGCTGTACAATCGTCAATATATATATCTATTTTTACAGGATAATAATAACAGTGATAATAAACTTCTATTAGACATGGTGACAGTGAGGTCAAATAAACAAAGGTATTTTAAACAATTTTCAAGCAAAATGAATTTCGCCGAAACGAGAAATTTTCGCTGAACTGATCTTATTTAATGTCTTGATGGGTGTATTATTTTTTATCTTTCTTGAGTTCAACCGGCGACCATCCTCACAATCCCAAAAATGAAGAAACTCATGCCTGTATATGTAAGATTCTAACTCAAACTATACAAAGTGTTATAATCAGCAACATTACCATCATTGAGTTATTCGTAACGTATCTTCGACACTACGGTGTGCCTCAGAAGATAGTCAATATCATACAGAATCCATATGATGGATTAAACTGCAATATCGTGCATGGAGGACAATTGACAAAGTCGTTCGAAGTGAAGACCGGTGTTAGGCAAGGTTGCTTACTCTCACCCTTTCTCTTTCTCCTGGTGATCGACTGGATCATGAAGACGTCAACATCTGAAGGGAAGCACGGGATACAATGGACATCGAGGATGCAGTTGGACGATCTAGACTTCGCAGATGATCTGGCCCTCCTTCCGCACACGCAACAACAAATACAGGAGAAAACGACCAGTGTAGCAACAGCCTCAGCAACAGTAGGTCTCAACACAAAGGGAAAAGCAAGATTCTCCGATAAAACACAGCATGCACCAATCCAGTCACAATTGACGGTGAAGATTTGGAAGATGTAAAAACCTTTACATATCTGGGCAGCATCATTGATGAGCACGGAGGATCTGATGCAGATGTGAAGGCGCGGATTGGCAAAGAAAGAGCAGCATATTTACAACTGAGGAACATCTGGAACTCAAAGCAACTGTCAATCAACACTAAGGTCAGGATTTTCAATAAAAATGTCAAAATAGTTCTACTGTATGGAGCGGAAACCTAGAGAACTACGAAAGCCATCATCTAGAAAAATACCCTTTGATACCATTGGATTAGTTAAATTTTATGATAGTAGTATATGTTTGTTTGTTTTTTCAATAATAATAATAATAACTTTTCTATTCAACTTTATCAATTATTAGGTACAAGAGAATCTGGAAAAATATCAATCTCTATATGATATTGTCTTGGTAAATGATGGTAGTTTTGAAATTCCTTACAAAATTATCCAAAGTATTCTTATACATAATAAATAACAATAAGCCAAAGATACATACATACACATGATTATTCGTATCCCTACTATGATTTTTTTTAATAGAATCAATCTCACTTCATCAGAGGAACACATTATTTTGTAATTTAGTCAAAATGTTGAAGAAAATGATGTTTTTCTCATTATTTAATTATTTTCTATAGAATTATTGTTTAATTATCCTTAAATTGTATATCCCTTTTTCCTAATTTCAATTTTCCCCTTCAATACATACATAGATACACACACATACTAATAGATAGATAGACAGACAGACAGGTTGTGGTACATGTATTCAATCGTGATCTTCAAAATTGTCAATCAATATTTAATTACAATTAAGAGTTATAATCACTATAGTTTTCTTTCTCTATTTTTTTGTTTTTCATTCTTGTTAACAGTTCTAATTTGTTTATAGTTTACTCCGTCCACCCTTACCTCCTTTACCACCCGTTTTTTTTCGTACTCCTTTCTTCGTAAAACCAAGAGAGAGAGAAAAAATTCACTATGTTGCAACTTTTGAATAAAGAATATTCTACGTAACAATTTTAAATAGATCTAAGTATATTTTTAAAAAAGGAATGATAAAAATTAGTTTTCTTTCGTTTGTTTCTATAGTGATAAACATATTTTTCTTAAAACAATGCCAGTATCCTATTTCACTCTTTCTTTTCTATTATTTATTGATTTTTTTTATTGATATTTCATCTTTTTACTTTTCGTATTAAATTGAGCATGTTTACCCTAACTGTGTTTGTATTCATTGTGTTTGATTCTCTTCTTTTTTTAAATGTGAAAAGAAATGACTGAAACCACCAATTGAAATATATATTCATATTTAATTAACATTGTCAACATTTTCATACAGGAAAGATAGTAATAGAATGTAAGTGAATGGAAATATGATGAATCCCATGTACTAGGATTCCGAGGCATTTCTCGTATATCTTGGGACCACTGAGTAACTAATGCAGTTGTTAGGAAACGGCTACTAGATAAAGATGGCAAATCAATTGATAAAGTAGTGAAACTGCATCAGTTGAGATGGATCGGACACGTGTTACGTATGCCAAACCACCGACGTGCAATGTTTTTATGGTGTAGGGGGGTAGGTTGGAAGAAAAGTAGGAGCGGCCAGACGAAAACATGGCACAAATCCATGAAGTCACTAACAAGTGGACTGAACCATGTTGGTAGGTGTAGACTACCTGGTTGGGGACCACGAGATGATAGCAACCGATGATTACAGACCTTGAATGTGACATAGCTGAAAATCGTTTACAATGGCGCAGGTGCATCCACTCTTTATGTTCTCCCGAGTTCTAATCTGAATTCTTCATGTCCCTTTCTTTTTTCTCTTTCTAAATTTATTTCACTGGATTATACTCTTTAAATAATATCTTCAAACCCTAATGTTTCCAATTATTGCCTATACTTTTACCACCTCTACCACTACGGGATTTGAATCGACAAGTATATCTCTGTGTGCTAATGTGTTATGGCAACTCGAACTGATGTACGTACGTACACCACGTCAAGGTAGCAACAACAGTCGGGGCTAACCAGAAAAAAATTTATTTAAATTCTGCCTGGGAGTTAGAAGGTCTTCATTTAGGAGAGTTATGACGCCTCATGGTGAAAGCCGAGTTCCGAGGAAGTCACGACGCCGATGCCCCTTCTGACAACCAGAGCAACCATTTATTTAGGTACATGGAATGCTCGTACAATGTGGGAGACTGGGAGAGTCTTACAAATTGCTTCAGAATTAGTATAGTAGTTCATGGTAATATGACAGAAGTTAGCAATTTTAAACTTATTGAGATTCTAACCTATCTTGCTTGCTGTGGAATCTAAAAATCTACAGTGTAATCCACAAGGAAATCATGCAGATGTAAATTATCAAAAAAGTCTTATACTACTACAAAGTAACTGTGCTGTAATCTTTTGTTCCTTAATTCATACCCAGTTTGCAGAAATTTCATTATTTCATCATTGTAATTCTAAATTTGCACTTTAGTTTAGTGTGACCTTTGTAAAACATATTCACATGGTCTCTATACATGTAAATGTTTTTCAAAGGCAACATGACAATATTATAAATAACCGTGTTTATTTAAGAATTCATAAAGTTGAGAGATCATGATTATTTATCACATTATGTAATAGGTTTAAACATACTATCCTGGTTAACTTTATAACGATATGTAAATATTTGATTGAAGTATATTGAACAAAAGATATCCAATGTAATCACTGTTATGTAACATAACATTATGATCCGATATAGTTGATATTATGTATGCTCGATTCGATTATTAGAAAGTTTCATCATTGTTAATAGTTATAAGCAAAAATAGATAGTGGCAAGTAGTCGAATCCGGGACGCGCGCTTCGTCTTATTTGGGACTCGTCAGCCGGATGTATCTGCATCGCGGAGTTGACGTTCACTTTGGGAATTGAACTAATTACCATCCGCTTCAAACGCCATCGCGTTATCCACTTAGCTACTGAGTCCTGATAGCCACTTGCTTGTGTAATGGGGTGAAGTTTAATTCACTTGGTATTGTTTTTTTTTAAATCTTACCATTGATGTATAGGACTGCAATTGATCGGTCTCTTATTGGCATATGTGCATACTGTGCGTATTGTCTCGATGTTGCCTTAATTCGAGTCCCTGAGTGGACATCAACTCTGAGATGCAGGTACATCCAGCTGACGAGTCACAAATAGGACGAAACGTGCGTTCAACTGGATTCCACTTCTAGCCACTATCCGTCTTTGCTTATAATGCTTGTGAACTAAAGCAATATCGAGTCAATCGTCACAGGATGTACATGTGCCAATAAGAGACTGATCAATTGGAAGATTGAAGTAGAACAATACCAAGTGAATTAGTTAATAGTTATTAGAAAAATATATTTAAAATGTTTTCGCGGAATACATACTGTTTAAATACTAATTACAAATAACAGTAACATTTGAATCCTGACCAGATTAATATAATGAAAGTGACATTAATAGTAGTAATAGTTTTATTGTGTTGAAGAGTTAATTGATCCAAAATAAAGGCGATCTACTTGAATATGTGGGCTACCTGTTTCTGTCATTCCAATATTTCAACAAATTATTTTTCTTTTGTTTACTTCAATATATCATTATGTCAATTGATTGTACAATATATTTAGGTGCGTTTGTGAAAAGTTCACAACTTTTCACTGTACAACTTACAAAAGTAACTAATCAGAGACATTGTGGTTGTTGGTTATATCCATCGAAATGAATGTACATTATTCAGATGTCAATTCCTGAACTACTGATATCTAACTGGCAACCATTCAATACTGATCACAAGGATCGATTAAGAAATAAGAAACGGAAACTTGTTGAAATACTTTGTGCTGAGGGTTCTATATTATACCAAAAATATAATAATAATAATGACCAATAGATGAAAAAACAAAACAAAATATTTACATAATATCAAATATAATGTAAATTAGTAGCTTTTTAGTGAATAAGAACACGAGTGACGACAATCCAGTATGTCCGAACATAAAATTACAGAACATCATACTCAAATCTGAGAATCATGCAGTAAATACTTCATTTGCAAAACATCAATCAATTTTCTCAAACTTGATTATTCCTTTCACTGATATCAGTTTATCATCTCATATTTCATTGTTTCTGTATTTGTCATAACAATTCCGTTCTCATTCTTTCCTTTTTCAATATTCTACTGAAATACATTCTATTCCTAACTATCACTATATACTACTTATGTAGATAATAAGTATATAAGTAGTTCATAGCATAGTTTAATAAATATATTTGACTTTTAATAAAATAAATAAAGGAATTAAGAAAAAATTGATTAATGAAGATAACCAAAATATTCTAGAATATAATTTTTTGAAATATAATAATTGTATAGATTTTGTTGGTCTATAAACAGCACAATCTAATGGTGATAAATAATTATGAATATTGATAGATTTATGATAAGTTTTTGTGAATAAAATAAATTTATATGTTGTATTCCATTGTTTTAATCCATTCACTTTAGATATAGATTGACTTGGATTATTTGTATATGAATTGCATGGGGAATTAGTAAATCCAATCTAGAAATATACAAGATTAAGTTATGGATACTATAAAAAGAAAATCAGTCAGTAACAATATAGGACTTTAATAATTGATTGATCACTGGGTGGCGATCAATGTCATGCGTGTCTATGTTATATCCGAGTGGAGATTAAATTACAGGTAACTTCCGAGGACTATTCATGGACTAATATTCTATAAATATTCTTATTGTATAACTACTCAACAATTACACTATGTATATTTATATCCCTCTTATGACAAGCTTTATTTTGGCCTATAATTTATTATTGTACGATTTACGGTCCTTAAGTTATGTTCAGTTTATTAACTACTGCCTCCCTCATTCACAGCCACTTTTTGGGCTTATTTGTGTACAATATTATTTCCTATTTTATGGTACGTTGCGGTTTGTCTGATTGATATATAAACCAAGTATGTCTGAAATAAATGATCTGGTCTGATCTGCTCTGATTCGGAAGCTGGTATTTTGTTCTGGACTCAAGTGGAAGGGCTCGTAGGACATAGGACCAATAAGGACGCTAAACTGCCCACACCGGTTGAACGTCATTGGTTGGCCTAGTGTGAAGATTCGTATAAGTCGTATCCGGATTGGTAGATAAATCGCGTGATAGAAAAATCAGACATCCAAGGTCATAACAATTGGCGACGGGGTGGAGAAAAGTTTTGAACCCCCAGCTTCAAGGTCATAACAATTGGCGACGGGGATTTTGGCAAAAACAATATAATTGGGAGACGCAAGGTCATAACAATTGGCGACGGGGATTTTGGCAACAAATAAATAATAATAATACAAGTGGTGACTCAGATTTTGGAAATAAATTAGCTGTATAATTGCCGGTGATTTTCGGAGCTAATATTATTAAATAAAAAAAAATGTCGATTTCTTTCGAAGAGTTGCGGTTAATATTACAGCACCAGCAGAAGATGTTGGCCTTCCAACAACAGCTATTTGAAACAGTTTTGGGCAGACTTTTCACTCAACCAGAAATAATGGACATTTCAGAAGCATATCCCGTGGAGGTTTCAAATCCCTGTATACCAGATGGGAAACGTAATACTGGTAAATTGTCCGGCTCACAGCAAGATAATATTGTGCTAAATGCACATGAAGTTGTGAAAATGCCAGATGATCAAGAGCCAGATCCTGTAGATGAAGCCCAGAGTCCAGAATTAAATGAAACGCTACTGGTTCTGTCCAGCTCTGAAAATAAACTTCAACTCGAACAAAATTGTGGTCCACGTGATTTTAGTCGAGAAAGCTATGGGGACTCATATTCAGAAAATAACTGGAGCAACACGATGAACCCAATTGTACCAGATGTTACTCAAAATCACCGGGAGACAGAAATTTATATTGAACTGGATTATCTAATTTCTCATGACAATGTACTAGATATGGGTTCTTATAATAATGCACAGAATTTTGATGAGATTTCTTATAAAAATGAAGAAAATATGTCGGCTGTTTCAAATGATGGTCAAAAATCTAATTTAATTCTGTTAGACGTTGACTTTCTTAATGACTCGTTATCTGCTAACGAGATTCATAATGAATTTGAAAATAATGAACTCAGATCAAAGGTCGTTCATCATCATCTAGTCATTTTTAGTGGATTCTCCAGTCAATACGAGAAACATGGTTTAAATAAAGTCCTACTAGTTGTAATTCGGAGCCATAAGGACCCAACATTATTTCGAGGAGGAGGAGAATGTTGAGGAATTTAAAGTCACATATGATTCTTTTTTTTAATCAGAATCTAAAGTTGGAATTTTCAAAAAAAAAGGGGAGGTGTTATATCCGAGTGGAGATTAAATTACAGGTAACTTCCGAGGACTATTCATGGACTAATATTCTATAAATATTCTTATTGTATAACTACTCAACAATTACACTATGTATATTTATATCCCTCTTATGACAAGCTTTATTTTGGCCTATAATTTATTATTGTACGATTTACGGTCCTTAAGTTATGTTCAGTTTATTAACTACTGCCTCCCTCATTCACAGCCACTTTTTGGGCTTATTTGTGTACAATATTATTTCCTATTTTATGGTACGTTGCGGTTTGTCTGATTGATATATAAACCAAGTATGTCTGAAATAAATGATCTGGTCTGATCTGCTCTGATTCGGAAGCTGGTATTTTGTTCTGGACTCAAGTGGAAGGGCTCGTAGGACATAGGACCAATAAGGACGCTAAACTGCCCACACCGGTTGAACGTCATTGGTTGGCCTAGTGTGAAGATTCGTATAAGTCGTATCCGGATTGGTAGATAAATCGCGTGATAGAAAAATCAGACATCCAAGGTCATAACAATTGGCGACGGGGTGGAGAAAAGTTTTGAACCCTCAGCTTCAAGGTCATAACAATTGGCGACGGGGATTTTGGCAAAAACAATATAATTGGGAGACGCAAGGTCATAACAGTCTAGTCCTTATTAGTGCACCTTGCTGACGAGTGCCAAGTAGCACGAAACCCGTGTCCAGGGTTTCGTGTCGACTACCTACAACCACCATCTAATCACCACGTAGAACTTGGTACGTACGTACATCAGTTCGAATTGCCATACCGTATTAGCATACAAATACTATACAAAAGTGGACATGTATATAATGTGAGTAATGAATTATGAAATAATATTATAACTTTGGTTGTATTACCATTATATGAAGTTTCTGACAGAATAAATGTCGTTGTCCTTTAAACCATTGAAATTACTACAATATCCATAAAAACCCATTTCCGATAGTAATCAGCATATGCTCATTATTTACTAGCTTCAAGATGTATTTCCTGGAGTTCTATTGAGAAGTAGTGATCGGTGGAGTTCAACCGGGTCTGTTATCAGATAGTAACTCACCGAAGACACTGGTGGATGTGTGGTTCAATTTCGTGGATTGGTTGAAGTAGGATTCCGGCTGGCTAAGTGGTCTAGAAGTTAAGCGTTGACGTGCGAGACTGATAGATCCTGGGCCCAAATCTCGCGAAGCGGGATTGTTAATACACACTGCTGAGGAGTCACACAACAGAATGAAACGGCCGTACAGTGCTTTGAGGTTTTCCATGGTGGTCTAGTTTCAATTGACTCATGAATTCAACCATTAAAATGTAAAATCATTTTAAAAAATCACCCATATTAGCTATAGTGTTATCTATCATGAGGGACAGTTATTGACTTGTAAAGAGTTTTACAATTTAAGATTAAGTTTTTGTAGTTCATGTCTTTACCCTTTGCTTAAAATCTAACACGGTTAGAAATAAATTAAAAGAAATTATTTTCAATATTATAAACTAGATCATATCCTAGTACAAATTAGTTTACTGCATTGGTCAAATTTTGTAACATTTAACAATAAATACATCGTATTCTTCGCAAACGTTTGTAGTTATCGTGACTCAATCACCTTAGTAGGTAACATGCTAGCGTTCGAAGTAATGGGTACTAATTTCTAATCTCTGTGCAAATATAAACATTACAGTATGAGTCCAAAACAGAATGAAACATTTGTCCTGAAATCCACCCCTACCTATCCTGTGATATATAGTTAATTTGTCACTATTGGTTGATCACTGGGTGATGATCAGTGTCATGTGTGTCAAATCCTTCTTAGTTCAGATCGAATGCTATCAGCCAAGTTGCAATGTGGCCACTAGTCTAAGTTACTCGATATTGCAGTCGGTCACGGCCCGGATAGCTCAGTGGTAACGTCTCTGACTGTGAAGCTGTGTGACATGGGATCGAGTCCGTCAAGAAGCACCAGTTCCCTCAATATTACAGGTACACCTTGTTGACGAGTGTCAAGTAGCTCGAAACCAGGGTCCAGGGTTTCCTGTTGACTACCTCCAGCCACCATCTTATAGTTGGTTTTTAGCTGAAATCATTATTAAAACATCCACCAGATTAGCAGGTATATCTCGACAGAGACTGGATCAAATTGTCTTAAATTATATCGACTAGACATAGTTAAACATGTAGTAATAAGTTATTCCTGATTGATTTAAAAATTATAAACAAGTGATTAATCAAAATACCCGCATATTTTCTTGATCAAATATAGTATAGTATGCTTCGAGAAATACTGAACCCAATATTGTATTTCTATGAGTTGGTTGTATAGCAAAAGCAAAACAATCTCTACTTTGGTTATTTTGGTTTATTCGACCAAGATACCTAACATATTGCTGAAATTAAAAAAAAAAGAAACATGCATATCATGAATATGCAAGCTAAAAATGATACAAAATATGAAGTAAAATTAGGTCTACAATCTAATTGGATTTAGTTTCATTATATGGAGATTCTATCTGATTTATTATTTAAATTTATGCATTGATTGGAGATTTGGATGGAGAATGCTGGTGAGCGGCCTTTGCTCCTTCACGAGGAGTAGCAGGCGTAAGTATGTGAGTAATTGATTGGAGAGTACTATCATTAACATCAATGATTCTATTCTTTTGTTACGTGAGTGAAAAATTTTGTTTATCTATGTACATAGAGTACATGGAATAGTGACTTAAAATACTTAGATTCTTTTCTTAGTTCTATATCGTTTATAACTGATTGATTTTAATTGAATAGTTGTGTTTAATTACTTCACTTCATTAAATAGTCATTGATAGTTGTTTAAAGTTTTATGAAAAAGTTATGAAGCGAATAAAATTAACAGGAAATAGATTAGATAAGCCCCCAAATACCCTAGTACAGCCGAGGGTGAGGAGAGTCGGCTCTCCATCTCGAAATGCTCTCACATGGCCACGTGCATACAACCACTACCAGGGAAGTCCTACTCACTGTCTTCTCGTGGCGGGGCTGTTGTTTACGAAATTGAGAGGACGAAAAGCGAATGTCCGGCCCTTTAACTGAGTTGACGGATACAGAGGGTCCACCTAGGGGAGTTGGAAAACCCTCATTCCAAACCAATGGTGCACATTGGCTCCAGTATCCTGAGGGAACAAATTGCGTATGAACCCGACCGCTGGTCACGGCTACCATGGAACTGCATCTTCTAACGTTTCTCCACTGTCTTGTGGACCAGACCTTCAGGTCAAATGCTCTGGGTGTGGCCCCCTAAGAAAACCACCTGCTTCGGTCTAGACATTCGGACAGTATCACAGTCCATACACAAATCAAGTGACTAGTGTGGTGCATATTTATTCGATGCCTCTTTGTACCAATATTTATGTGTTCAAATAAATAAATGGATAAGCTATTATAACTTAAGAGAGTGAATTATACATATATAGGAAATGAAGTTGAAAAAAATTAATGTTTATTTTTCAATGCCTATTCTTTATATATTTTTTTTATTGGTTATATAAGTAAATTTGCAAAGTCCTATGACATAAGAATATGTTCATGTTCTTAATAAACTGATCTATTATTTATTATGAACATAAGTTAATCACTAACTATTTTGTTGCATAAAGGAAGTTATAACAATCACAGGTTTAAGGTCAAAAAGAACCAATCAACTTCGAGGTGTACAGGAAAAGCTGTGAACCACATGTGGAGAAATCCAAACACTTCACTTCTACCTGAATTTTGTGCAGATGATGTCGTTCAGAAGAACGATGAATGCTGCACGACAAAACTATCCAACTTAAAACCTCAACATTATGGAATATAGACTTTTGTTACTCAACTACTTATCACAAGAAGAAGAATAATGATCCATAACATTAAATACATGTTACTAAATTCTTTGTTAGAGTAAACTTTGCCATTTGAATAGTGTGAGGATGACTCACAGATGAACTCGAGGAAGCTCTATAAAGCTCAAAAAGAGACGAAGACAGTTCACCCAATCGTCTTTTCAAAGAGTATTCTAGAATCTCGACGTGTAGCTTCCCTATTGGACAAATGCTAAAAACCACTGAGGATTAAATGACTATAATGATGACTTCGCTTTTACTAAAATCTATAAGTACCTAAGAATTTTGTACCATATTTGATATTATTTGAAATAACATTCCTTTTCACTTATTTTCTGTCTTCTCATTTTACGAGTTGATGGGTTCTAGCATTCGAGTACTCAAGCAGTACACGGTATATAAAAAATCTAAGCTCTAAATATAACAAACAAGTTTACCAAACGATTCAAATATACAACTGATCATAAAAATACAATAAGTGAGACTATAATTTATGGACGAACCAGTACTTAGTGGAGTACCTCAATGTCCTGTCCTAGGCCCTTTACTTTTCATATCGTATGTAAATGATCTCCCAAGTATAGTACAGCCCCCAATGTTATTATACGCTGATGATGTAAAAATCTGGTAATTAATGACGGGAAACGCAGATGCATGCTCATTTCAGGCAAACTTAAATAATGTGATTAACTGGTCTAAAGAGTGGCTGATGCCTATCAACGCGGCACAGTGTGTCTACATGCACTTTGGGGATACGAAGGTTGATAGGTACAGCATAGGGGAAGTGCCATTACCCGTGGTCAGGTCACATAATTATCTTGGGGTGATAGTGAGTCATGATCTTAAGACCACGGCCCATTGCCTGCAAGTCGCAGCTAATGGGTTTAGAACCCTCTCGGCTTTAAAAAGGACACTCACTAAGTTAGATACAGCCATGTTAACTGCAGTATACACAACCTTAGTGAGACCTAAGCTTGAGAACTGTGTTCAGGCTGCAAGCCCCTGTTTAGAAGATGACTCGGATATCCTAGAAAAATTACAGAGGGCAGCTACCCGCGCAATTCCAGAACTCTGGGATTTACCATACAAAGAGCAACTTGAAAAGCTAAACCTCTTTACTCTGTCCTATTGTGGCTTTAACTTGGAATCCTGAAGGGAAGCGGAAAAGAGGAAGGCCAAACAACATATTACTTCGGGAAATAGAAGCAGATATTAAAAAGATGACTAACAACTGGAAAGGACTGCCCAAGATAGGGTTGGCTGGCGAACGCTGGTGTGTGACCTATTCTCCTCCATGAGGAGTAATAGCCGTAAGTAGTCGCAGACTAAGGGGAGATCTAATTTTGATGTACAGAATACTAAGAAATTATTTCGGACCTAACATATTCTTTCTTTTTCCTTCCACTAGATCGGGACATCTCAGAGGACATAGCAGGCGAGTATAATAGCCAAGAACGAACAAAATACCTGTGGCATACAGGTTTTCACAGCAAGTCATCAATACTTGGAGCTTGCTACTCGAAGCAGTGGTATCCGCAATTTCAATTGACTTATTCAAGAGAAGACTGGATACTCATAGAAGCATACTAGAAAAGGCCGTAGGCCTTCTGTTATTATTACACAAATCTGAGATCTGAATCATATATAAGATAATAGGTCTTGAATTTTGGCTCAAAATTCACTCATTCATTTAGATAAATAGAGTTTTGGCATTATAGCTGATGTCAGTTCCTGATAAAAAAAAACCGTAAATCTCATTTCTAACCATAATCATCAACTGTAAATCACAATTCTAATTTCTCATACAGGTTTATAACCTTCATTTAGTCCTATTTATTAGGTTGGCACTCACAAGATCAGTCTGGCATCACTCAAAGGTCATCCATAAATTATAGTCTAACCATATAAAATAAGAACAACACATATAAGCGAACAATTGTTTTCAATTAGATCGTCATCAGGTTTTACTTTAATATACATGAATATTTATACGAAAATGTTAAACCAATCAAGGCAATATGCGTCAATAATCACAATGAAATGGAATAAGTCTCTACACATAATAGGTAAAAGTACAAGTTTATAGTAGGAAGACAGGTGAACTGATAATATTAAGAATAATAAAATACGATAACAATAGTCTTATCAATAGTTAAACGTCGGGAATAGAAGGTCAAAGGTGGGTAAAGACTAGGCGTAGTCATCACAAAACATTAAAGTCATTACGTAATAAGATGTGTGTAAATAACTAGATAGTGAAGAATACAAACGGGAAGAGGCGGAAAATTACAAACAAATACTACTAGATGTGAAAATAAGGCTAATGATAACAAAATAAAATAAAAGTCGTTTGTTAAGTTATAACTGGCCACGGAAGGGATAGGTAGGTTACGAATTTCTTCTGTACATATAAATTGGGGTTATATGTACGAATTCCTATGGCTTCAGATATATGTAGGATGCGGGAACGAACTCCGTTGGGAAATGATGGAGGTATACGATAGATCACTCGAAATGATTTCGATTTATCTACAGCATGACCGCTATCAATAAGATGTGCCAAGATAGAACTGCGAATTGTTTTTATCTGGCCCTTTATAAATCAAGCTGGTAGATGTTCACTCATTCTAGTGATACTCTGAAATATAGGTTAACGAAAGTAATCAGCAGGACATTCTAAGCAGCTAATCTTGCGTTGACCTTCTCTAGTCGACCAGCGATGTCTACTCAAACGAAGGATAAGTTACCTGAGTTGGTCTCCTCAAAGTGCATTTACAAATTTAGCTGCTCCTATGGAAGTAGCTATATCGAGCGTACTACCAGGCAACTTGACCTCTTACCCCATTTCCAGTGTAGTTGACCTTTTATTTTTGTATATATATAAGTGTTCTTAACATGTATATAGTGTGTGATCACTCATTGTTTAAAATGTATTGCGCTAATATATCATCATCACATAGTTCTGATAATCTTCGTCTTCTTAAATTACACTAACGAAATTTTTTATCAAAGGGACTTGTTGTGTCAGTCACTATTTTAAGCCCATATACCTTATTCTAGCTTTCGGACATTACATTCTATTCATTCTACTTGAGTCATATTTTGACCTTGTCAATTATTCGCTTATTAATCTTGACTGTTTTTATATAATCGTATATGTGTGTACATTTCATATTCCATGACTCATCACATGTTTGTCTGTCTATAATATATTGATTAACGCCTGACTAAAATGAAGTTGGCTTACCAACCATCTCCACTGCGTATCATTTTTACTTGGCTTCACCATATGCTTGCTTGCTGTAAGCTTGCGAATTTTTATTAATTATTAACAATAAATTATCTCTACAACTAGTATTCAGGCTTTTCAATAATCTCGAGTAAATCCATTATTCTACCAAGAGATTTAGCCTACGTTAAATACTCAATTTACGGGTTATTATTTATTGAAGTCAGATATTGAGGAAATTAGCCTCAACAGACTAATTGTTTTAAATTATTAAAATAATTTATTATAATATATATAAATGAAATAAATTTAATTTACCTGAGGTGATAGTAGTAAAGATACTATTTGATTATTTATATTTATACTTGATATTAATTGAAATTCAATCATTGGAAATAATCGATAAAATTTTTTTAATATTTCATTATTATTATTATGGTTACTATTATGATTATGATTGTTATTATTATGGATAGGTAAACAATAAGCATTTTTACCAAGCCAAAATAATTTCTTATTCATTATATTTATATAATTTTTATTAGTGATTATATATTTCTTGAATAGAATATTAATGAATTGTTGAAAAATTTTCATTGGTAAATAAATATTTGTTGTTCCACTATCAATGATTGTTTTATATAAATTTAACTAAATAAAATAAATTAAATAATAATAATTAATATTATTATGATAACATGAAACAATGAAAAAGAAATTATGTCCACAACAAGTTTATTTATGTTTATATTTTGAAAATGATCAGAAACGGCGGTTTCGTGTAATCTCACATGGGAAAAGATCGTAGGTGCGTACTGCTGAGCAGTCCTACACTAAGACGAAACAGCCTTCTAGTGCATGCAGGTTTTTCATGCTTGCCTAAATTTTATTGATTCATGATTTCATTAATTGAAATAATTTTAATAATTAAATTCATGAGTTAATTGAAACTAGACCATCATGGAAAACTTGGAAATATTGGAAGGCTATTTCGTCATAGTGTAAGACTCCTCAGTAGTACGTATCCACGATCTCACCGCTCGAAATTCGAACCTAGGATCTATCAGCCTCATGCGTGAACGCTTAACCTATAGATCACTTAGTCAACCGGCATCCAACGTGTTATATTCTAGTGAAGGTTAAATTACGAGTAACGTCTGAGACCAATTAATGGACTAATATTATTTATATATTATGGTATAACTATTCAGTAATTAGATTGTGTATATTCATCTTATCATAAGCTTCATTTTGACCTATAAATTATTATTATACGTTTTACTGTTCTTAAATTATGTTCAGTTTATAGACTGCCGTCTCCCACGTCCACAGACACTCTTTGGCTCTATTGTGTATAAATGTTCTTTCCTATTTTATGGTGCGTTGCGATCTGTTTAGTTGATATATAAACCCAGTATGTCTGAAATAAATGATTCGCATAGTGGGAGCTGTATTGGTGTTCTGGATTCAACTGGACGGGCTAGGCGAGCAAGGGACCAGTAAGGAAGATAGGCTGCTCATACCGGTCGAAAGTCATTTAGCACACTGCGAAGATCGTATAAGTCGTATTTCGATTAGCGGATAAATCTCGTGATAAGTAATGGCCCATCAAGACATAACACAACGATGTTAATGTCTAACTTCAACTAATCCACAAAATTGAGCCACACATCCACCAGTGTCTTCAGTGAGTTACTATCTCACTACTTCTCAATAGAAATACCTCTCGAAGCCAATCACTAATGAACATACGCTGATTAATATCAAAAATGGGTTTTTGTGGATATTATAGTAATTTTAATAGTTGAGTTCATCAGTCAATTGAAAAGAATATTTTATTTTCAAGTCATAAACTATGATTAATGAATCTCACTTATATTAACTAGTTATTAACAATGATAACAATTATTTATGGACTGGTTGGCGTTTTTTTTCTTTTTTTTAGCAAGGTTGTTTTCTACAGGATGGGGTTGTTGACCTCATACTTAACCCTCCTCCTTTACCAGGGCTTTGGATCGGTGGTGATCCTAGAAGAGCTACAGGTAGACTTAAGTATTTAGGGAGCTTTATCAACAACAACAACAAAATTGATTGAATTTAGAAAATAACTTCATAGAATGTTAACTCAGTCCTTTTAAGGTATTTTTCTCATTGTGAAACTAAAAATATTTGTGTTTCTTGTTCACATAAAAAAATGAAGATGAAAACGGTTATGAAACTCCAGAATTGAATAAAACACTTATCTACTGTACTCTGGTTTACACTATTTCTTTAGTTGATGTCAATCAGTGATGAAATTTAACTTCAATTTAGAAAATGAATAGTACTATTAATATTTTAACTTTCAATTATATAACTGGACAATAATAACGTTTTAGTAAATTTACTAAATGGATAATTCTGATTCAGTCTAAACATGAAGTATAAACTTCTTCAATATTTCAAATACTGTAACACGAAACTCTAATCATGCAGGGCTTCCCGTTGGTTTGACCTTTGAGCGACGTCAGACTGACCTTGAGAATGTCCACCTACTAACTAGGGCTAAATGAAGGTTCTAAAGAAGTTTGAAAAATAAGGATTATGATTTGCAGCTGATGGTTTGGATTAGGTATTAGATTCATGGTTTTCATCACGAACTGACATCAGCTAAAATGCCAAAACACTATTTAGATAAATGGGTGAATGAATTTCGCACCAAAATCCAAGATCTGTTATCCTAAATCTGAATGGTTCGTTCATAAATTATAGTCTCGCCGTTGTTAGTTCTTTTAACCCTTTTTGCTCTTCAAATACAAGAAATTTATTGAAAATAAACATGAAATGTACTACAGAGGTTGACCCTAGGTCAAGCCCGCATCGGTTATACTAGTCTCTGAACAGATCAATTTATTCATTCTTCTGAAGTCATATTATTACCCTGTCACTTATTCGGTTATCAACCTTGACTGTTTTTATGTAAGCATATCCGTATGCACTTCTTTTCTTACTGATCATATGTCTGTAACTTATTTTTAGTCTGACTAGAAATATCCAGTTTTTACTTCTCTTTCCGATTAACAATTGTTTGAAATATACGTATTCAGAAATCCATTCTCATATTTGATTTATTTAATTCAGTTATTCACTAATGCAATCCAAGTAGATAATTATATACGAGAGTAGCCAAGATGTATATTTGACAGCAATCATTCGATAACGATCATCCGTCTGATCTAACTGGAATCAAATGTAGGGTCATTAAAGTACCATAGAAAAGTTTGCTATTCATTTTCATGTTCATGATTATTATAATTGAGAAACCAAGTTCATTGACTATAAGATTTTGTATCCTTATGATGAAATTGTAACCAAATACATATTCGTATACTTTGATTTCAGTGATATATTTATATTATAGTGGTTACCAGTAACAAAGTACATAAACAAGATTCTTTAACAACCAATTCATTATATCGTTTGCGTAAACTATGAATTTCAATTAAGCATATCTAAGTTATTATGAATTATTTCATTGAAAACATGAACTTGAATTTACCTCTTTACAATTGTCTACTATACTGTATTCATTAATCAAAAGATTGGTCAGAATTATTTCATAATACCATGCTTTTCGAATAGGTGTGTAATAAACTCTTGATGGGTTAAAGCTTGGAATTCTCGGTGATGACATATTACTAGTAATATAAGTAGACGGCCAGAGGAGATTTACATCTGTTCGACCAATGATTAGTTTGCCTGACATCTTTCGTGAATTCATATCTGGATCGTTGAACTACACGTAAGAAAGAAAAACATATTAAAATATATTTAGTAATGTAAGTTAGTTGGTAGAATTTGATCAAAACCAAGAACTAAGCCAATATCACACTGGTTACTATACATTCATCACTCAGCGTATAAATCACATTTCTACCAACAGTTTGTTGCAACATGAATGACTGAGTGGTTAGGTTTCTGAATATGATAATGGATAATTCTGATTCAGTCTAAACATGAAGTATACACTCCTTCAATATTTCAGATACCATAACACGAATCTTTAATCAAGCAGGTCTTCGCGTTGGTTACGTGCAACTGCCTAAAGTATCTAGTTATTAAGGTGTGAAATCACATAACTTAAACGTTTGAAACTTTTCGTTAGCTTCAGACAATCGACAATATAACTACATCGAATACAATGTGCAGATACCTGTGTAATTCTAATCATAAAAATTTGGATTTTTTGAACGTGACGTCATAGCACCACTAAGTCGATCAAAAGGTCTGTATCTAATATATTGTTGTAAGTTGGGCTAAATTGTTACAAATAATATAGAAACCCTAATTCTTTATATACTAACTCTCCTGGGAATGATCAAAAAGCCACAGATATAAAATATATGACAAGCCCTTTCAGTCATGTACACATGTAAACTATAGTACAATGAGCAGATAAAAAGTGTTTCAAACAAATGTCATCACAATAACATTTATCATATACTATAGTCTAGGCATTTAATCAGCTATTAACCTGCCCGTATGTATAAATGAGTGAGTGTCTATTATTTATTCTTATCTATCTGTCTCCTTATAGATCAAAGTCGGTTAAAAACTCGTACATATGATTATATTCAAACAACCTTCTTCATACTCTTTTGCCTTAAGACAGTTGAAAATACTTTATGGATCAACTAGAATCTTTATAAGCAAAGATGGATAGTGGCAAGCAGTCGAATCTAGGACGCGCGTTTCGTCCTGTTTGGGACTCGTCAGCTGGATGTACCTGCATCTCAGAGTTGATGGGCACTCTGGGACTCGAACCCAGTACCATCCGCCTCAAACGCCATCGCGTTATCCACTTAGCTACTGAGTTCAGATAGCCATTTGCTTGTGCAATGGGGTGAAGTTTAATTCACTTAATATTGTTTTATTTGAATCTTCCCATTGATATTTTAGGACTGAAGTTGATCAGTCTCTTAATGGCATATGTGCATACTGTGCGTATGCCTCGATATTGCCTTAATTTACAAACATTATAAGCAATAAGAGACTGATCAATTTCAGTCCTAAAACATCAATGGGAAGATTCAAGTAAAAACAACATCAAGTGAATTCAACTAGAATCTGTTTAATTTATGTAGATCTGTTGACTGTATTTATTATCTAATCTGATAAACACATAAATTGTTAATAATTTCCAGATCTGAATAATTATTAAAATATAGATTTTACTTATATCATTGATTTTACACACATGTTAGGAGGTGAAGAGTCTAGGTGTGTTCAGTTCCAACTAGTTAACACATCTCTTTGACTAAGTAACTAATTAATTTAAGATTATGGCGAGACTATAATTTATGGACGAACTAATCCGGTATGAGATAACAGGTCTCGAATTTTGGCGCGAAATTCACTTATCCGTTTAGCTAAATAGAGTCCTGACATTATAACTGATGTCAGTTCATCATGAAAAACCTAAATCTAATTCTTAACCTTGACCATCAACTGTAAATCATAATTCGAATTCCTCACATTAATTTATAACCCTCATTTAGTCCTAGTTATCAGGTAGACACTCGCAAGATCAATCTGATATCGTTCAAAGGTCATCCATAAATTATACTTACTTACGCCTGTTACTCCTAATGGAGCATAGGCCACCGACCAGCATTCTCCAACCCACTCTGCCCTCGGCCTTCTTTTCTACTTCCATTCAATTCTTGTTCATTTTTCTCATGTCTATTTCCATTTCCCGGCGTAATGTGTTCATTGGTCTTCCTCTTTTCCTTTGACCTTGAGGATTCCATGTGAGGGCTTGTCTTGTGACGCAGTTGAGTGCTTTCCTCAATGTGTGTTTTATCCACTAATCTCTTGAATTGTTGGTGGGCCAACATCGATTAGGAGGTCCGTGAATGTTGCTTCTATATTGGGTGGGTTCAGTAGGGCTGGTCGATTTAAGAGTTCTTTGAAGTATTCTACCTACCTGTCTCGTTGTTCTTCAATGTTGGTGATTACCTCGCCTTCCTTGCTTTACACTGGTCGTTCTGGTTTACGGCGATTTCCAGAGAGTTTCTTTGTTATGTCATACAATTGTCTCATGTTTTCTTCTCTCACAGCCTTTTCCGCCGTCATTGCTAAATTTTCCACATATTTACGTTTGTCAGTTCTGATGCTCCTCTTCACTTGTTTGTTTACTTCTGTGTATTCAGCTTGTGCCTTGGCTTTTTCTGCTCTTGTTCGGCTGGTATTGATTGTTGCCTTCTTGTTCCTCCTTTCTTGAATCTTATCCAGTGTATCAACAGTGATCCATTCCTTGTGATGGTGGTTCTTGTGGCCCAGGACCTCATGACATATTGAAATGATTGCTTCTTTGATCCTCTTCCAGTTGCTCTCCATAGTAGTTCCTTCTCCATTGAGTAGATCATGAAGGCCTGGAACTTATTGCTGAGGACTATCTTGAATTTGTTGAGTTTGTTAGTATCCTGAAGAAAGGCCGTATTGAACTTTTGTGATACTGTCCGCCCCGTTGTGCAGTGCTTCTTGAGTTTCAATTTCATCTTGACAATCATCAAGTGATGATCTGATGCTATATCAGCTCCTCTTGGTTCTCACATCTTCCATTGTCCTCCTGAACTTTTTGTTAATGCAGATATGGTCGATTTGGTTTTGTGTGGTGTGATCCGGTGAAGTCCATGTGATTTTGTGAATGCGCTTATGTGGGAATATGGTGCCGCCTATGACCAGTTTATTGAAGGCACATAGGTTTGCAAATCTCTCACCATTTTCGTTCCTTTCTCCCAGTCCGTGTCGTCCCATGATGTCTTCATATCCAGTGTTGTCCGTTCCAACCTTGGCATTGAAATCTCCCATCAAAATGATCAGGTCCTTTGTTGGGCACTTCTCGACGATTGACTGCAACCTATTGTAGGATTGATCTTTAGCGTCTTCATTGTAGTCGTTGGTGGGCACATAGCATTGGATGACGTTCATTGTATTACCCTCTTTCTTTGTTTTAAAGGAGGTTTTGATGATCCTTGGTCCATGAGATTCCCATCCTATAAGTGCATCGTCAACACAACTGCTTATGTATGTGGGGCATTTTCTTCTTCACAGCCGGAGTATAACAGAAGCTCCCCTGAGGCTGGTCGTTGTTGTCCAACTTGTGTCCAATGTGTTTCACTGATCCCAAGCACCTCTAGGTTGTATCGCCTCATTTCTGCAGCAATTTGTAAGGCTCTCCCGGTGTCCCACATTGTACGAACATTCCATGTACCTAAATAAATGGTTGCTCTGGTTGTCAGAAGGGGCATCAGCCTCGTAACCTCCGAAGGAATTTGGCTTTCATCATGAGGCGTCATAGTTCTCCTAAATGAAGACCTTCTAACTCCCAGGGCAGAGTTTAAAAGGTTTAAATAATTTTTCTGGTTGGCGTCTTTTTAGCGAGTTAGTTTTCTACGGGATAGGGTCGCAAACCCCATGCCCAACCCTCCTCCTTTATCCGGTCTTGGGACCGGCAGTAGCCCACGGAGGGACTCCAGGCGGAGTTATAAAACATTATATACGTTTTTTTAGAAATATCAATCATAGGTTAACATTTCTTGGCACTTTTTAAATAGTAGATGAACTAGTTTTAACATCTCAACACATTATCTAACTAATTAGTTGATCTGTAATTTAAAATAAGTTTGAGCACGTAATGTATGATCTACAAAATTTGTACTTTAATAATTTCCAAAATTGCTTTGAATCATAATAAACAAACTGTAAGTTTAAATTCATTTTGTATTATTTATTTGAATCTTTCCATTGATATTTAGGACTGCAGTTGATCAATCTCTTATTGGCATATGTGCATCCTGTATGGATTTCCTCGATATTGTCTTAAGTCACAACCATTCTAAGTAAAGATAGATGGTACATCCAGCTGACGAATCTTAAAAAGGACGAAACATGCACCCCAGATTCTACTGCTAGCCACTGTCCATCTTTTGTTTACATTGTAATTTTGTTTTCTTCGCTAGTGTTTATTCATTTGGGATCATTTTAATGACAGATTGAATGTTGTGAGTTACTTTTATTCGATTGTACTTCATATCAACTTAAGAAGTCATTTGTAAATCCATACAAACATTGAAAATTTTGAGCTATAAATCTTGAACACTACTTATATGTAGATTACTTATTAATGATTCATAATTCCAACTTAGAATTTAAGTGACGAAATTTCAGTTAACAGATTATTTTCATGTAATAACTGGTGTCAGCCGCATCCCCAATAAAATGCTGGGAGCATTAGATCGACTGTATTTTTTACTTTGAAGTTCAAATATTTTGGTTTCTCTTTACTTCAAAATCTATGAGTTGGGAACATGTAGCTTAGCTTAACTTCGTTGATCAATCACCTTGGTAACTGTTAATATATAAATCTCTTACACTACTTGAATTCAAAAGGGAATAAAGAGAGGCTATTACAATTTATCAGTGGGTAGCACATAACAAAGTTATAAAGCACGTTTATTGAATTTAAAGCAGAGATATGAATTTGTGTGTGAACAAATACAGAGGCAAATTTATAGTCAAGTCGAATAAAGGCGTAGTAAGGAAAGGCAAAGGCAAATAACAGGATTTGAGCACTTATATTTACATGGTAAAGAGAATCACTTATCGAGCAATGTTCAAGCTATCAACATTTAAGTCAGACTGATACTTACGTAGGCTGTCACATGTGATCAAGTGTATAAGCTTATACACGCATGATACTGATCATAATAGTACAAAGAAATATGCGAATTGTTACTGTCCAAATAACATTATCATTAAATAAGTTAATAAAAATGGCTTGACAAAGGCCAACCCTAATGGAAATCGATTGTAGGAAAGTTATTATCATTCGATGATACCTTAAACTCAAACTGATCTTTACACCCTTTTGAGTAAATAAAAAAATTAAAAAAAACAAAGACAAAAATTCAATAAATCAATAATTTACCATGGTAGTTCCACATAATAATAATCCAAATTGTTTATGAATTTTCCATATAGAATTTAATTGATCTAAATAAGTGAATTGATTTTTATTATTTATAATTTGATTCATGAATTGATTTTTCCAATCAATCAATAAATTGATTTGATTATTATTATGATGTTTTATTGATTTTGGTTTAATATAAATTGAATTAAATCCTAATCCAATAATTCCATACCATGTAATATTAGTATGTGATAGAAATACTTTAGTTGAATTAAAAATTAAACTAAATGACATATGAATTTTATTATTATTATTATTCATTGGATAACGATTGATCATTGTTGTATCTAGGATGAAATAAAGAAATGAATGTGAATGAAAAGTTAGTCTATGATAAGTGTAATAAAGTAATTAAAAAAAGTTTTTTTTCAGTTTTTGATTGAGATCATAAATTGAAAATCTGAAAGTATTGGTTGGTGTTTTCGTCTTAGTATGAAATTCCTTAGCAGTGCACATTCACCCAGGATCTTTGGTCTGGCGCAAGAATTATTTACTTATTTATTTGAACACATAAATATTGGTACAAGAGGGCACCAAATATATATGCGCCACACCAGATTTGTGTGTGGGCTGTGATACTGCCCGGGTGCCCAGACCGAAGCAGGTGGTTTACTTAGGGGGTCACACCCCGTCTTTGACCTAAAGGTCTGACCCACAAGGTAGTGGAGCATCGTGAGGAAATGCAGTCCCATGGTAGCCGGTGACCAAGAAATTGGTTCATACGCCATTTGTTTCCTCAGTATACTGTAGCCCATATGCACCATTGGTTTGGGATCCGGTTAAAGCGCCGGACATTCGCTTTTCGTCCTCTCACTTTCATAAACAACACCCCGCCACGAGAAGGCAATGAGTAGGACTTCCCTGGCAGAGGCTGTATACGCGCGGCCGTGTGAGAGTATTTCGAGAGGGAGAGCGGACTCACCCTACTCTCGGCCATACCAGGGCATTTGGGGGCAGGCGCGAGAATGCTTAACTTCTAGACCACAGAGTCGGTATCTAGTGGTATTAATGTCTAACTTCAACTAATCCATGAAATTACGCGATCGTCTTCCCTTATCTGAGGTAGATACCCATTTCTATCTGATATGGATTTGCTTCATGAACATTTCACAATAATTTAAAGAGGATGAATAATTTTTTCTAAAACGATAGAATTATGAAATTTAATACTAAACAGCATATAATTCACTATTACCTTATAGCCATTAAATTATTGTACGATATGATGAAGCGTAATCTAATGAAAGATGTACTCATAAATTTTCATTTCATTGTCAAGGTAACAGCTGAACATAATCTGGAACTAGGCATATGAGTATAGATACAGCTTTAAAGATAGCTATGATGATAATCTTTTTGATTAATTTAATACTTTTGAATTATGCTTTGTAATATATGATATTAGCTGCTACTCGATGACATAGTAGGATATGTCAGTTTTAAATAAGGCCAGTTAATGTCTAAATACTTCAGTAACAATATCTCTCCAACATTAATTGAAAGTATTGCTATTCTCATGACTGAAAATACATTTTGCTGACCAGTACCAACTAGCAATAACATTAGGTCACTCGAAGTTTTCCGCTGATTGTCTCTAACCGTTTAACACTGAAGCAAAGTCCACCCCATAACATACAATATAGCGTTTCTACGGTAATAAATGTTTGGAGGAGATTAGTATAAAGCCTTCTTTGACCTAATATGGGTGCTAATTGCGACTCATCAGAAAGACTTGTTTGAAATATTAATGAAACTGTTGCGTCTCATTAAATAGAAACTCATGTAATCCAATGTCACAGTCTGAGATATTACAGTCAAAGTATTCGATGGTCACATCTCTGAATATTGATTTCTATTTAAGATTTCAGGAACGAATAGTTTAGATTCTAATAACGAATTCCGCTAATTATTATTCTTTCAAAATCTACGCGATTTTGACACAAAAAAGGTATACATGAATATTTCAACAGATTTGGTTTAAATCATACGATAATAAACGATTTTGATATAACATTATGGGGGTCATTAAAGGATAACCGTGTTACTCGTAAAATAATTGTATGAAGTTAAAGCGCTTGCTTCCAAATGACTATCTATTATATGTTATATGTCGGCAAATTGCAAGTTTGTCTAAATATTTTAGGTTAAAAATGTTCAAATGTCAACAAAAGAATATGGTGGTATAAGAGTAGGTTGGAAGAAGGCTAGGGGCGGCCAGAACAAAACATGGCATAAATTCATGAAGTCACTGACAAGTGAACTGAACCATTTTGGTAGGTGTAGACTACCTGGTTGTGATTCGCGAGATGATAGTAACGGATGGTCAGAGACCCTGAATTACATGGCTCACAATCTTTTGCAATGGCGCAGGTGCATCCACTCTTTGTGTTCTCCCAAATTCTAATCTTCAGAATTCTTCATGTTCCTTTTTTTCTCTTTCCAAATTTATTTCACTGGATTATATTCCTTGAATAATATCTTCAAACCCCAATGTTTCCGATTACTGCTTATACTCCTACTACCTCTATCACTACGAGATTTGAATTGAAAATTGTATCTGTGTGCCAATGTGGTATGGAAACTTGGACTCATGTAAGTACGTGCAAATTTCTACGTTATTGCTGACTGACTGAAAGTATTAGTTCAATATACATTAACAGTATTACTTATAAATTTTTAGAAAAAAAAATTATTTTTAATTGTTTTTTTCTTACAAAAATCAATTCCATACCTTGTCTACTTGTAAAATCAAATTCATCTTGACAATAAATACCAGACCAATAACCTTTCAAATAATGTACATGTTGAATTAAATGGTCACTACATCTTAATGTAGATGACTTCGTAGATTCGAACCAATTGTCAACATTTGTTAAATTTCTACCAGCAATTGCTAAGTTACTACTACCAGTATCAACAAGTAATTGTATCTGCAAAAATAAATAAAACTGATAACAGTTCAGAAATCAATATATATTATTTTCAACGATACTAATTTACCGTCAAAAGAATCGTCTAGGATCCATAAAATAGGCTAACTAGGTGGTTCACAGTAAATTTAGAAATGATTATTTTAATCAATTGACATCAGAACCAGAATCAGTAAATGGAATCCTTGAATACTCAGTTAACGTGTTATAATATCAACCATCTGAATTTTGAAGCATAAGCCATTGTATAATATGCTGATTAAAGTGAAACACGAATCTTTTAAGTTCGACTTTATATACGGTTTTGGTCAGTCACTGATAAGGAATTTCGAACTAGGAATTAAACTATTTCTAGTATATTTTATTGTCAATGAGTCCCCAGTTGATGTTAGTACATGGGAAAAATAGAGAGTAGTCTGTTGGAAAACAGATCAGTATTACATCATGAAAAAAGCGATCTAGTATCAGAAAGAACTTTCTGACTAGTCTAAATTGTAATTAAAAATGGTAAAATGAAAACAATTTTTAGATGAGAAGTATGAGAGTTCACTGCATTAGTCAAATGATAATAATGACTTCCTACTAAATACTACAATTTTTAATGAAATGAAAAGCAAAATAATACAATGGAATGAATGTAACACATAAATAGGGAGTAAGAGTTAGATTGTTTCATTGTTAAAGCCTCTATCTTACACACATTTTTAATCCAGACTTGCTATGTTGAAGCGATTACGAGTTCACTTAGTCTGCGAATAGAACAAAGATTTGTGACCAAAGACCAATAAACTAGCTATTCTATTGCGTCCCAGCCCCGCAAACTAGAGACAGAAGCCGAAGTCCGAACAGGGAAGTATACTCCGCAAAACGCAAGAACCACGAGCGATGACAACAGACACAAATCAAAATGTATATATACAGCACAAAACCGTCCTTGGGAAGCATTACGAAATAGCATACTAAAAGACATAACGGACCAGTAGCGTTTAAGATTCCCCAAGTCGGAAGTACGACATGAAGGTTTGAAGAGCTCTTTTGGCGCGAAAACAAAGAAATTTAAAATTTCAGGATAAAATTATAGAATTAAGACCTATTCCAAGTGAGTTCTGGGGATCTAACGTCCCCAACAATACTCCATCTATAAGCAATCGTTCCCCCTAGTAGGTAATTTTCAAAGATAATTCTAGTTCATTTTCATGAGATCTTAAGGAAAGGATTTATTAATTAACTTGCATTTTCTACTTTTCATGACCAGCTAAAGTAGTACTCACTGACATAAATAGAAAGAGCATGGATTTCGAAACTAATGAAATCTGCTTTATCAATACCCATTCACTAATAATTTTAGCGATCAAGCATTCTAAAGAACTAGTCCATCTTTAACATGGTAAGGAATCAGATGTCAGTATACGGTTGTGGAGATTATTAAGTTGTTAAACCCTGGGCTCTAGTCCCGCGAAAGGGTTCGTGGATGCGCGCTGCTGAGGAGTCCCACAATAGGACGAAATGGCCGTCCAGTGCTTCCGGGTTTTCGTAGTTGGTCTAACATCAATCGGTTCATGAATCAAATGTTAACTGGTAAAGATAATCTGAAGCTAAATAGAATAAAATTTATTTCTCATAGTTCTTGACATTCAATATACCCTAACTGATGCCATTCTATGAAGAAAGCTTCTTATTATTCTAAGCAATCAGCATTTTATAATGAAAGAAAATTTTATGTATATATGAATTTGATATCATTGATCTAATGCAATGTGAACATTCTAACTGAATAATTGAATATCAAGAAATAGAACAAACATTCAACAAAATGACAGTAGTTTCATAAAGTTAGATACATTGATAAACTAAAATATTCTAAACAGGAACAATTATAAGCAAAAATAGATAGTGGCTAGCAGCGGAATATATGACTCGCGTTTCGTCTTATTTGGGACTCGTCAACTGAATCAACATCAACTCTGCGATTCATGTACATCCAGCTTCCTAAATAACAATGGTAAGATACAAGTAAAACAACACCAAGTAAATTCAAGCTCCACCCCATTGGACAAGCAGGTGGCTATCAAGACTCAGTAGCTAAGTGGATAACGCGATGGCCTTTGAAGCGAACGGTAATGCGTTCAATCCCCAAAGTGAACGTCAAATTTGAGATGCAGATACATCCAGCTGGCGAGTTCCAAGTTAGACGAAACGCTCGTCCTGGATTCCACTGCTGGCCACTATCCATCTTTGCTTGAAAAGCTTGTGACTTAAGGTTATATCAAGGCGATCCGCACAGGATGCACATATGCTAACATGAGACTGATCAATTGCAGTCCTAAATAACAATGAGAAGATACAAGTAAGACAACACCAAGTGAATTTAGAAACAATTGTATATACGAATATTTGTCAATATTACAATGAATAGTTTAATAAAAAATTGGGCGTCCAGTATAGAGAAGTCATTATATGTAAAATATTATATTTGAAATGATCTCAGAGATTGAAATTTAAAAGAATTCCAATGTTTCGTCCAGCAAACTTGTCTGAACTTCTTTAGGGTAATAATCGAAATCATCAAAGAAATATATAACGTTTAACAATCAAATCAAATCAATATTGTGCTAATCCAATCGTATTTAAATGTTCACCTTGGTAAATAGAATCATGAACATTTCACATGATTCGTATTTAACTGATTCATGTTATTCGATTTACTAGAATCAACATTCAAGTATTTTTGGATTAGCACAGTATAGATTTGGTGTGATTTTATTGTTAAAATGCTATATCATCATTCTTTGATGATTTTGATTTCGATTATTATTATCCTGAAGAAGCTCAGACAAGTTTGCTGGACGAAACATCTGAATTAGATTTAGATTTCAATTACTGAGATTATTTCAAATATAATTTTTCACATATGTAAGAAACCATTATAATCATACATTATTGATGATAACATAATTTAATTGAGAGGTTATTCATTAACCTATAGGATTAAGATTTAATTATTAGGCTTTTAATTATTTTTTAATAGTTGAGATCATGAGTCAATTCAATCTAGACCACAATGGAAAACCTGGAAGCATTGGACGGCCGTTTCATCATACTGTGGGACTCCTCACTAGTGAGTCTCTAAGAAGCATTTCCTGAAGTTCTAGTGAGAAGCAGTGGCCAGTAGAGTTCAACCGGGTCTGTTGTGAGATAGTAACTCACTGATGACAATGATGGATGTGTTACTCAATTTCGTGGATTGATTGAAGTTAGACATTAACACCATTGGATGCTGGCTAAGTGGTCTAGAGTTTAAGTGCTCGCGCGCGAGACTGATAGGTCTTGGGTTAGAATCTCGAGAAGCAGGATTGTGGATGTGCACTAATGAAGAGTCGCACAACAGGACGAACTGACTGTCCAGTCCTTCTAGATTTTCCATAGTAGTCTAGTTTCAATTGATTCATGATCACAACTATTAAAAAATTACTATAATATCCACAAAACCCATTTTTGATTTTAATTTTTTTATATTACAAAATTAATGATTATAATATAAATTACTTTTGATGGAGTTTTGTTCTCTTAGCTGGATGGTTTAGTCGTGGAGCTTTCATCGTTCTTCTGAACAACATCATCAGCGCAAACTTCAAATAGAAGTCTTCACGGAGAAAATATAGTTGTTCTCGAGTGGAATCCTGCCTTTTGGCGAAATTCCCCATTTTCGAACAACGAGAAGCGTATTACTTACTTACTTACTTACGCCAGTTACTCCCAATGGAGCATAGACCGCAGAACAGCATTCTTCAACCCACTCTGTCCTGGGCCTTCTTTTCTACTTCCATTCAATTCTTGTTCATTTTTCTCATGTCTATTTCCATTTCCCGGCGTAATGTGTTATTCGGTCTTCCTCTTTTCCTTTGGCCTTGAGGATTCCATGTGAGGGCTTGTCTTGTGACGCAGTTCGACGATTTCCTCAATGTGTATCCTATCCACTTCCAGCACTTCTTCCTGATTTCTTCCTCCGCTGGGATCTGGTTTGTTCTCTCCCACAGTTGGTTGTTGCGATTTGGTCTGGACATGATCGATCCTTACGTAATCCTGCCTGTTGGTCTCGAATTTGGGCGTCTACGGAGTCCTTCATTCTGTTTAACAATACCCTGTTGAAGACTTTTCCTGGTATTGAGAGAAGAGTAATGAGAAGCGTATTAAGCTCATACAATTATGAGATGGTGAAGTTTGTGCTGATGATGTTGTTCAGAAGAATAATGAAAGCTCCACGACTAAACCATCCAGCTCAGAGAAAAAAACTCAATCAAAATAATCCACCTGAACTACAAATCTTCTGCATCATCTCAATATAACTTACTTTTTGATTTGGTTTACCAATATAAACTGTCATATAATATCCTTGTCCAGGTATACCAGAAAGATTATAAATAATAAATGAAGATGATGACATAGAAGAAGGTAGAAATAAATTTTCAACAATATGATTTAATTCAATTAGTTGATAACATACAACTATGTAATACAATTTGATGATTCGAATTAATCTTAATAGTCCGTTCATTAGTATTATTATTATTACTATTATTATTATATCTGTTTCTAATGGTTAACTGATCAGTGACCTATGCTCTATTGAGAGTAACAGGCGTAAATAAATAAGTAAGTAGGTAAGTAAGTAATTATTATATTCATAATCAAATTGTAGCTTGTTAAATAAATAATCGAAAATTAAAAAAAAATAGAGGAAAAAAGAAAAAAAGAAAACACATTTAACTCTTACGGTACATTTGTGCACTTAAATATACCATTACTTTGAAAGAAAAAGGAAAAAAGAAAAGAAGAAAAAAGAAAAAGAACTTAATTCATGCACTTCATTTTCTTTTTTAAATTTTCATAAAATATTTTTTTTAAAAGTGTAATCTTATTCAGTAATATTACTTAATATAATGTCAATAATGGACAGCTCAGAACCAATGAGACGATTTGAACTTCTTAGATGACCTAACTCTTCTATCGCATACACATGAACAAATGCACATGTAAACAACTCGTGTAGCAGTATAAGCTACTGTATCAGTAGGCTTCAACATACACAAGGGGAAAACTAAGGTCCTCAAATACAACACGGAGAACAGCAGTTCAATCACTCTTCATTGTGAAACTCTGGAAGATGTGGAATCCTTCATATATCTGGGAAGCATCATTGATGAACAAGGAGGTTCAGATGCAGAAGTAAAGGCAAGGATTGGCAAAGTAAGGACACCATTCCTACAGTCGAAGAACATATGGAAATCAAAACAAATGTTTGTCGACCAATATCAAAGTCACAATCTTCAATACAAACCTCAAGACAATTCTACCGTACGGAGCTGAAACTTGGAGAACTACTACAACTATCATCAAGAAGGTAAAACTATATATGAATAGTTGTCTACGCAAGATACTCAACATCCATTGACCGGATACCATCAGTGACAGTCATATGTAGGAGAAAACAAACCAGGTTCCAGTTGAGGAGGAAATTAGGAAAAGATGCTGGAAGTGGATAGGACATACATTGAGGAAATCACCAAACTGCATCACGAGTCAAGCCCTAACTTGGAATTGTGAAGGGAAGTGGAAAGAGGGAGGCCGAATAACACATTACGTCGGAAATAGAAGCAGATATGAAAATGAATGAATAACAACTGGAAGGAGCTGGAAAGGATTGCCCAGGACGCGGTTGGATGGAGAGTGCTGGTGAGTGGTCTATGCTCCTTCACGAGGACTGACAGGCATAAGTAAGTAAGTATAATGATCAAATAGTTTAATTTAAGGGATTAACATCAGTACTAAGAATTTACAGTAAATTTCATAAATTAATATAAAAATTTATTTACTATAATTTCTATACAATGATATTTATAATGGTAAAGAAGATTTATAGCTTAGTTAGATGACTTTGATAAAGTTTTACTTTATTTGAAATTTATGCTGATGATATCGTTTAGAATAATGATGAAAGTTTAATGACCAAATCATTCAGATAGGAGAACAAAACTCTATTAATGATATTTGTCTGAAGTAAAAGTTATTAATTTATATAAGAAAAGTGGTTTGCCTAAATATTTAGGTTACTTATTCCTGACATCTGGATATTTCAACAAGTTATCTGTTTTGTTGTTTGTTTTAACACATCATTATGCCTATTAGTTGGATAACATATTTAGGTATGTTTGTGAAACGTTTACAACCTTTCGTTGTAAAAGTTCCAAAAAGCCCAATTAGAGATACTGTGGTTGCTGCCAATATTCATTGAAAAGAATGTACATTGTTTAGATGTCTATTCCTGAACTCAGTTAGTTAAAACGTAGTACCAGGCATGTATATGCATCGGTCCAAGTTGTCACACCTTATTAGCACAGCAAGATGAACACCAAATTCATCGAAGCAGTCACTTCAATGGTAGTAATAAATAAAACAAAGATTGCATATAAGCATATAATACAGGGAGAGAGAATTAGTTCGTAGAAAGAAAGATATGAAGTGATTTTAATCTCTTAGTTTAAGGGAAGACAAAGAGTGTATACACCGACGCCATTGTAATCGGTTCTGAAACATGTCACACACAGCCTTCAACCATTGGTTACGATAGTCACGCGGACACCAACCAAGTAGTCCTCATCTATCAACATGGCTCCGACTAGAAGTTAATGACTTCCTAAACTGCTAACATTTAATTGACGATCACTCAATTATTTATCGCCAGGATCGATTAAGAAATAAGAAACGGAAACATGTTGAAATACTCTGTGCTGAGAATTCTATATTATACCAGAAATATAATAGTGAATAAACTCAGTAACAATAATACTATAAAAATTAGAAGAGTATTGAAATAATCATTATTGTTTTTATTTAAAACTGATATAAGCTGAACAATCAGTGAAAATAGTTATTTTCTTCTTAGTCGGTTAGTATTAACAATCAGAGATATTAAGTTCTGTTAGTGAGTACAGTATTTTAGAATCAATGAATGAACTCCAGTAATCTTTGCTTCTCAAAAATAATCTTGAAAGTTCATCTTTAAGTTCTTCATAAACATTTCCATTATAGTTGTTGCAATAGGTTATTTGTGGTGGTTTCAAAATATTTAAAAGATGTCTTGCTATAGGACAAATAAAACAATCAGCAGATTGACCACATCAACCAATAAAAAGTTTATCTATGTGAGTTTGATTCTATGTGGGTGGACGACATGGGAGTTGGATAGTGGCAAGTAGCACATACAATCACGATGCTACTCGTGATTCTGGTATTGTTTGAAATATCAAATTTTCGGATTGAACATCACTGGTCGTGTCTGTCGATGTTTTTATGTGGAGAGTGGTTCGAGTGAGTATGCGGAAGTGCCAGCCATCGATCCCGGGCGCTTTTGTATGCTAAGCGAGCGCTTTACCACTCAGATACATTATATGTGGTCGCTGTCTGTTCTAGTTATATTAAGAGTTATTTCTAATCACTTTAAATTGGTCTTGATGATGTAAGTTCATTCTTTCTTTGTCTTCTTGTAAACTTTGAGTTTAATCTTAATTTTCACACTAAACTTTCGGATTTAACTTGTTATCTGTACATTTTATGCTATACATCTTGCTTTTAACTGATATTCTAACTTTAACTAATTCACTTTTTCTATATTGATATAAGGTGTAATAAAATGTTAACAATTTGTGTCAGCTTTTAAAACCTTTATAATAACCGAATGACAGACGAGTAGATTACTACTTCTGAAAGTCACGTTTCGGAACAAAGTATATATATGCATATCAATGAGTTGAATAGTTGAATCGATCCATTTCTTCATGAATTGACATTCTCCACAACTTCTTGTAGCAATTAGTATACACATACAAATCTATCACTTTTTGGATACATATAAAGATGTTAAATAAATGAATCACTTTTTTCCGAACAGATATTTTGCTATATCCTATGCATGTACATTTCTTATATGTGCCATTGTTATTATTTTAAGTAATTTTGCACTTGTATATAATGTATATTTACTAGATAGATTTATGTGCACTTTACTTTTATATGCTTATCTGATTGCTTGTATTGTACGTCTATTGTATATCAATATACAGTTAACTTAATAATAATAACTCAAGGAATAAATTATTTAAATCCTGCATTAGATGGTGGTTGGAGGTAGTCGACAGGAAACCCTGGACACGGGTTTCGTGCTACTTGGTACTCGTCAGCAAGGTGTACCCGTGATCTTGAGGGAACTGATGCTCCCTGGCGGGTTCGATCTCGTGACACTCAGCTTCACAGTCAGATACGTTACCACTGAGCTATCCGAGTGTCGACCGACCTCCTGTTGGACTGAGATATAATCACAACTGATTGATCACTGGTGGCGATCAATGTCATGCTTGTCTAGTCCTTATTAGTGCAGATCGAATGCTATCGAATGCTATCAGTTCCCTCAAGATAACAGGTACACCTTGCTGACGAGTGCCAAGTAGTACAAGACCCGGGTCCAGGGTTTCCTGTAGACTACCTCCAACCACCATCTAACCTCTATATATAATGCCCGCAGTGTCAAGTCACCTAGACTGGTGGCCACATTGCAACATGATCGATAGCATTCGATCTGCAATAATAAGGACTAGACACGTATGACATTGATCGCCACCCAGTGATCAATCAATTGTGAAATTCTGCATTATTTACGTTTATAAATACTTTATACAAAAAGACGAACATATTAGCCAGTATACTGACTGTATCACAAATTCTCGCTAATTTGTTCATCTCCCATATAGAATTGAAGATTTTAATTATTTCTATTAGACCGCCCATTTGTCTCAGATATATATATATATATATATATATATATATATATAGATAGATAGGTAGATAGATAGATAGATAGATAGATAGATAGATAGATAGATAGATAGATAGATAGATAGATAGATAGATAGGTAGATAGATAGATAGATAGATAGATAGATAGATAGATAGATAGATAGATAGATAGATAGATAGGTAGATAGATAGATAGATAGATAGATAGATAGATAGATAGATAGATAGATAGATAGATAGATAGATAGATAGATAGATAGATAGATAGATAGATAGATAGATAGATAGATAGATAGATAGATAGATAGATAGATAGATAGATAGATAGATAGATAGATAGATAGATAGATAGATAGATAGATAGATAGATAGATAGATAGATAGATAGATAGATAGATAGATAGATAGATAGATAGATAGATAGATAGATAGATAGATAGATAGATAGATAGATAGATAGATAGATAGATAGATAGATAGATAGATAGATAGATAGATAGATAGATAGATAGATAGATAGATAGATAGATAGATAGATAGATAGATAGATAGATAGATAGATAGATAGATAGATAGATAGATAGATAGATAGATAGATAGATAGATAGATAGATAGATAGATAGATAGATAGATAGATAGATAGATAGATAGATAGATAGATAGATAGATAGATAGATAGATAGATAGATAGATAGATAGATAGATAGATAGATAGATAGATAGATAGATAGATAGATAGATAGATAGATAGATAGATAGATAGATAGATAGATAGATAGATAGATAGATAGATAGATAGATAGATAGATAGATAGATAGATAGATAGATAGATAGATAGATAGATAGATAGATAGATAGATAGATAGATAGATAGATAGATAGATAGATAGATAGATAGATAGATAGATAGATAGATAGATAGATAGATAGATAGATAGATAGATAAAACTTTCAGCGCCATGAAACACGCTCAAAGAAGAAACTTTTTCTAAACTGATATATA